GAGCTTGGAGCTGGAACTTGAAAGGGGGTTGGTCCCGTTTGGTGGAATTGGAGCCGTGGAGCAATGGACGGGCGGGAGGATGGGAGCTGGCGAAATGCGCCGGCCAACGGCAACCGAAACGGCGGGATCCCTTGTCGGCCCCGGCCTGGAGGTGCCTTACTACAAAGGTAGCTCATCCTCCGATGATTCGCCGAGAGCGGTGTGCCACCCAGTGCTGGATTGATTGGCCCAAGATGACGCTGCTTGCTGAACGCCAATGGAGGGGCACGGCAGAATCTTTTTTTGGTCTTGCTTTGGGGAGAAATGCCCCTCCTCCGCCTTGGGTCAGGAAGTAATAAGGTATCCTATATTTCATGAAGTAAGAGACTCTTAGCCTTCTTTTTTCCCCAACAGCATTATCAATATCTCTCTATTTCCACCATGTCGGGACTCCAAGCCGTCAAGTACACTCGGGGTCGTCTTGAAGTCCTAGACCAACTCAGACTACCCCACGAATTCCACTACGACGAGGTGTCCACCAGCGAGGAGGCCTTTGATTGTATCAAGTCGATGAGAGTCCGTGGTGCCCCCGCCATTGCTATTGTCGCCGCCCTCGCCCATGCTGTCGAGCTACATAACGGCAGCTGCACCGCCTCTGCATCTCAAGATACCGTCACTTACATCGACTCGCGTTTGGATTACCTCAAGGAGAGCAGACCGACTGCTGTCGACTTGACCAACGCCATCAATCAACTAAAGGCCCGCATTAGGAGCGCGCCTCAGGATGACTCCAAGACGGTCATTACCGCCTACATCGAGGAAGCCGAGAAGATCCTGGAAAAAGATCTTCAGACCAACCTGTCTATTGGTGACCATGGGGCTCAGTGGTTGAGAGAGGTCGCTGGTGCTTCTCCTGACGCTAAAGTATCTGTCCTCACCCACTGCAACACTGGCTCTCTGGCAACATCTGGCCACGGAACCGCCCTCGGTATCATCAGAACACTCTGGTCCAACAACCTTCTTAAACACGCCTACTGCACCGAGACAAGACCCTACAACCAGGGTAGCAGGCTGACCGCCTTCGAGCTGGTTTACGAGAAAATCCCCAGCACTCTCATCACAGACTCTATGGCTGCCGCCCTGTTCAACTTGCAAAAGGACAAGATGAACATTGCCGCCGTCATTGTTGGTGCCGACCGTGTCGTTCGCAACGGGGACACTGCCAATAAGATTGGAACCTACCAACTCGCCGTCCTGGCCAAGCATCACGGCGTCAAATTCATTGTTGCGGCTCCCACCACCAGCATCGATCTTGAGACCCAGACTGGTGCCGGCATCAAGATCGAGGAACGCAAGGGGGAGGAGCTCACGCAGATTTCCGGCGCTGTTGTCCAGGCCGATGGAACAGTCGACGTCGCTCGTACAGCGCGTGTGGCGACGGCGGACCAGCGCATCAACGTCTGGAACCCTGCGTTTGATGTTACTCCGCATGAACTGATCGATGCTGTTGTCACGGAGAAGGGGGCTGTTGTCAAGAACGCAAAGGGTCAATTTGATTTCCGCCACATCATGCCCGAGAGATGGGCCCAGGTGGTCGGCCAGTGATGGGCATCTCTGCTTTCTAAGCATAGAATGATAATGATATTCGTTTTGAGTTAGAGGCTGAAGCTGGAGCCCGGAGCCCGATGCGTGTCCAAAATTAAATTTTGTCTATAAGAGATATGGTATATTAGCAGGACACTGCTTCAAGATTGTCGCACGATACTAAGCAGAGTCCTTGAGAGCATGCATGATCAGCTTTTGATAACCTCCCACAGATTCTTCAAGCTCGGCAACGGTGATGTTCTCATTGCGGCCATGTGCAACTAAAATGGTGCCCGGTCCATACAGATAGCGAGTGTGCGAACCCTTGAGGTTAGGAATATCAGTACCATAGTTGGCCACAAGGGTATCAAATCCTATATGATGAGTCGTTAGTAGTTATTCAGACTGCCTGGGCCGCTCAATCGAAGCGCATAGATCTCACCGTCAACGTCACAGTTGGCCTCCACCACGCCATATCCGTGGGTGCAGGTCAACTCGAGAGACTCGGCATCGGTTTCATCAAGAATTTTCTGGATTCTCTCCTTGACAATATTGCCGCCGTCCTTTTCGGGGCCAATGGCAACCCGAACAGCAATCCTTGCCAGGGCAGAGGCAGGAATGACATTCTGGGCAACGCCGCCATTGAACTGGCCAACGTTGACGGTGGTGTTGCCCCACTTGTCGGTGCTTCCGAGATCTGTCGTGATAATCTTGGCTAGGGCCTTGATCATGATTTCGTTGGCCGACTTGCCGAGCCATGGGTAGCCAGAGTGTCCTGCGACGCCTTTGGCCGAGATATCGCAAAAGACACCGCCCTTGTGACCGCAAGCGAGCTTGTTCTCGGTAGGCTCTCCGAAAATGACAGATTCAAATTGGACCGGCGGGTCGGCTGCCTGAAGGGAATCGGAAAAGAAACGCATTCCATCGCCAGTGTCCTCCTCGCCAATAACAAACAAGAGCATTGCATCTTGGGGGTTGACTTTACCGGCCTCGAACAGGTCCTCAAGAGCAATGATCTGAGCAGCGACACTGGCCTTGGCGTCAACGCTTCCTCTTCCACTAATACGAGTGTCGGGAGTGATTTTGTCGTCGGATATGCCGTAGGGAATATGAGGCGGCACAACATCGTAATGCGAAGTGACTACGACGCGAGGTGTGGGCTGGCGTTGGTTCGTCTTCCAGGCCAGTACATTGAACCGCGGTGTCTCTTCGGGGTTGTTGTTGCGCGGTGGCAGGAATTGCAGAGAGGAGACATAGCCCCGGCCGGTCAGATAATCGACCAAGAACTTTCCGGCGGCGCTCTCATTGCCTGAGATGGAGGGAATCTCAATGAGCGATCGATGTAAAGAGATGAGGTCGTCGCGCCAAGAAGGAGCGGAGGATGAGGGCGAGTGAAGCGTTGGCGGGGAGAATTCGACGCCGATGGGCTGCTGGATGCGAGAGGCGGCGGCAAAGGAGAGCACAGAGCTCAAGGTCATGAGATGAGAGACATGCATGGTGGTGGCGGAGCTTCGAGCCTATGAAAAAAGGTTGATTGTTTTTGACGGCTTTCAAGCATCGATCAAAGGATAGCTAGCAGTCTCAATTGGAGAGATTTGTCGCCGCTACAAATCACTAATGGCCGGCGGCGGGCGCAAGAGTTTCCCGGAAACTTGGCTATGGTGCAACCGCAAACGGAGCGGTGTCGGAACGAAGTGGGCGGAGATCAATGGACCTGGGAGCTCAAGCCTCAAGCCTCACGGTGAGGTGCGATAGAGTGAGTGACACGAGTGATAAGAGTCAGATATCTGCAGAGTGCAGGCTGAGGTGCGAGGTCTGAGAATGAGGTCATTCCATCCCAAGCTCCCGTCATTGGCTCCAGCCACGAGCATGGACTTTTCCCGTCAGCCACCCCCATGTTCCCGCATGGGCGGGAGATGATCCAAGCTTTCCAGGTTGGTCCCTCGATCCAATGAGACGGCGGTGGGGGGAGAGCCTCATCAGTGCAGTCTCAGCGAGCGTCTCAGACAAACGAGGTAGAGTACATTACCTTACCTAAGGTATACTTGGAGACGGTGAAGCTGACAAACCTTGTGAAATCTTCAAGTACCTTATTCTCAATCAACCGAGCTGTACTCCGTACTCCTGCCGTATAAGAGGGTAGGTTATATACTGTTTCTTCCTGTAACTTGGTCCCCACCCCAGTGTCAGGCGAACAATGGTGAAGAATATCATTAGTGTTGGCAAACAAAGTGCCTGGTTTTAGGTAAATATAAGCCATCCTCCTGGGTAATCCAATCAGGCCTCTGGTATCAAAGCTCTTGTTGCAATCTGTGCAAACCGACTGAAACGAAATGTTTTAAGATGTGGTCAACGTGACCATCTCTCATTTGCAAACGGACCAAATGCTATCCTCCTCGTACCTAATGACGTTGAGCACAGCTGTCTCTCATGGTCAATCCAAGCGGTCCGAGGCACAGCAAATCAACCACCGAGTCCATTTCAAGAGCAAGATACCGATATACGGTAGAATGTACAATCTGTGAAATCCAATGGATGTTGGGGTTGGTAGAGCTCTCTGAACGTCGCAAATATTCTGTGTACAGAACTCTACGCCGCTGAGGGAACGGGGCCGCCCGTTCTGTCCCCAGATCTGCTACCGGTAGTCTTGAGCACCTTAGTGGGCATCAACTTCCAGTAGATACCCCACCGGGCTTCTAACTATTACGACCCTTTTCTCGTCTCGAGGTATGTAAAAAGATAGGTAGATACCTTTGATACCTAGGTATGTATCGTTGGAATGTATTCACTTGAGGTGGTGTACCTTGGTCGTGTGTCCATCGCTACATCAGTAGACGACCCACTCCACCGCTGCTCCTTGCCTCTCTGGGACGCAGTTGGATTGGAGCGCTGAAATGGGGGTACCTCCCCCAAGTACCTGGTCCGTTCCGTTCGGTTCCCCGTCCTCCATTTCCTAAGGTGCCCACTTCTCGCCTTGCCTCGCCATTAGGAAAGGCTCCTTAGCAGCAATCCAGCACTGGTTGATGAGTACCGACTGGCACGCTACCTTTGCAGACAGGGGCCGTTCGTGAACCCAGCAAACTCCCCCAGCCATTGCATTCCACGATCCTGGAGCTACCAACCTCAACTTGCGCTCACCAACAGCTTCAATTGCTACGCCGTGATCCCTTTCACCGACCTTTCCCACGCGCATTCGATCCCTAACAGGCCCATTCGATTCGCTCCGCCCATTCTGTCCGTTCTAGATGCAGCTTGCACTCTTTGCGCGCCACCGTGGGCTCCCGAGAAGTCGATCCTAAACCTCCTCACGTCTGCCCGGACCCAAACCCCGATTCCATAAGTTTTTCGAGTCGCCGTCTGTCTCGCCTGAGCCTGCCCACTTTGCTCGGCTTCGCTTCGGTCGGCTTTGACGTGCCTGGTCATCGCCTTACGAAGGGATGCAGGCCAATAGAGGAAACGCCGAGGCCCTGGGTCGCAAGGCTAAGGTGCGTCACTCAGAATACCACTACCCATCATGCCATCTTTCGTTTCGCCGCGCTCCCAATTGCCTTGCGTCATGGCCCACCAAATCGGCCATTTGGCTAACAATTCTATGACAGCTTGCTCGCTCGTACCAGGAGCTCCTCGAGTGAGTTCCACTATCCGCCCGCTCCGGTGTGAATCCTAGGCTAACCTCCGCTGCTTCCAGCGAGTTCTCTAACAAAGACCTCAGCTCCGTTGGCAACTACACTCTCGGTCGTCTCATCGGAAAGGGTTCCTTTGGCAAGGTCTACTTGGCCTCCCACAAGCTCACGAATGGCTCCAAGGTAGGCGACGGCCGACATGCTGGGACAATACTGTCAAGTCTGGGCTGGTGATACTGATTGACTGGGGTACAGGTCGTCCTCAAATCCGCAAATAAAGGCGACTCGAATCTCGCACGAGAAATACACCATCACCGACAATTCGTCCATCCGCATATTGCCAGACTATATGAGGTCATAGTCACTGAGAATCTGGTGTGGTTAGTTTTGGAATACTGCGCTGGTAGGCTTTAGCGTTTTGTTGCCGACATGGGAAGAATGGTTAACAAAGACTCGATAGGCGACGAGCTATACAACTACCTCCTCGAACATGGCCCCCTTCCCGTCCACAAAGTCCAGAAGATTTTTGCCCAACTAGTCGGCGCTGTCGCATACGTACATCAACAATCATGTGTCCACCGCGACCTGAAGCTGGAAAATATCCTGTTCGACAAGCACGAAAACGTAAAGCTTGTGGATTTTGGTTTCACCAGAGAATACGAGGGCAAATCGAACTACTTGCAGACATTTTGCGGCACAATATGTTACTCGGCACCCGAAATGCTCAAGGGCGAGAAATACGCTGGAGAAAAGGTCGATGTCTGGAGTCTTGGCGTTATCCTATATGCCCTGCTATGCGGAGAGCTACCGTTCGACGATGACGATGACAACGTTACACGCACAAAGATCCTCAGCGAAGAACCGAAGTTCCCCGACCATCTCCCACCTGCCGCTATTCCGTTACTCAAGTCTTTGCTCTCTAAGCGACCCCTACTCCGACCCTCCCTCCCCGACATCCTCACCAACCCTTTTCTCGCCGAACACTCCCCAGCACAACAAGCAATCCTAAAATTGCAAAGGCCGCCGCCTTTTTCAACGCATCTAGAGAAGGAGACTCTCCAGCGCATGAGAGGAGCGGGTGTCGACATTGACTCTGTCATCGAAAGTGTGCTTGCGCAGCGGTGTGATGCTTTGGCTGGCTGGTGGACGCTGCTTATTGAGAAGGAGCAGCGGAAGGTCAAGAGAAGGGAGAGGAAACGGCGGGAAAGAGAAGCTGAGAATAGGAGCTTGCGTCGTCTGTCCGCCGCATCCAGCAGACTCGAGCGGATTGCGCCTGTGTTACAAGAGGTCGACGAGGACGGCGGGCTGACGAACCGCTTCATCAGACTCGAAGATGGGCCCATTACCCCACGAACAAGAGGCCGATCAGAAAGAAGAAGTGCGCATTACGCCGACTTGGGAGACTTGCCCGGGCTGCCCGAACACAGCAAGGAAAACGGAAGTCCAGATACAGAGGAACCGCCTCCACCAATCGATAAGGATTCGATCCGGTCTGCCAGTACGTCTAGACATCGTCGCCCTGTTCCGCCCCCTAAGGAGGGTGTGATCCGCAGCGCGAGATCTCGGGGTTCGACCCTTCATCTAGTGACCACTTCGGAAGCTTTGGCGGCTAACGGGACGCCAGAGCGACCACCTGAACAGCAACAAAAAGTTCGCAAGAAGCCCTCACAGGCCATCATTGCGCATTGGAAGAACTGGACACACTGGTTCTTCGAGAACACCCGTAGGGGGCGGCATGCGAACAAGAGAGGGAGTCACTCAACGCCCAACCTGGTCGATAAAAACGGCAGTGTTGCAGGCAACAGCAGTAAACACTCCAAGGACACGAGTCCTCGGCCGCAGACAAGCAAGTACCCAACAACGGATGCTGGCGTACCTCAAGGAAAGGCCGGATTGCCTCGTGGCGTAGTGGCTAATGGCCATGCTAACAAGGCACTGCCAAGTCACGGAGGATCTGGAGGTTTCAGCAGTCCGGCCTCGGGCGGAGGCTCTGCTCCCTCGCGGGTACCGTCCCGAATCACAACATCTTACAAGCGGCAATCGCTGTCGCCATCTCCCATGACCCCAAGGACTACTATGCGGCGCTCCTCGGCAGGTTTGAGGGGCCGCAAGTCCACTTCTTCATCGGTCTCGTCCATCCGTTCGATGCCTCACCATCATCACTCTCATTCCAAAGCCTCATCAACGAGCTCAAACGGATCAGTCTCGACTTCCATGTCCAAAAACACTCTCCAGCGCGGGCAGTCGCCGCATCACTCCGTCAAAGTCCTCCCTGCCACCCCCACCGCGACCGCCTTCCCGTCGAATATCCGTCTAGTTCGAGGACCAGGTCCCCCGGCTCCCCTTGCTCTATTCAATGAGGGCATGCCACCCCCACCGGTAACGTCGGGAATGCAGGCTCCAGGCTCGCCCAATCCCTTTGCCCTGGGAGGGGGCATCCAATTTGCCAAGCGAAAGCGGAACATATTCAAGGGCCCGATGCTGGCCTTTGGCGGAGGTGGCAACGCAGGCGGTGGCGGGGGAGGGGGCGGCAGTTCACGAAGCACAAGTTCTAACCATTCACGCAGTGCAAGTGCTTCTGGAATCGGGCGACGGTCAGGCGAAGCTCCCATACAGGAAGAGGAAGAGGACGAAGAAGCGGAAGAAGAGATTGAGGAGGTTGACGCTTTCAGCCCCGTTGTTGGGGGACCAGGAGAGCGCATCGAGGAGCAAATTATTGAAGACAGCGAGACAGAGGCACTGGCAGAGCAGGCGAAGGAGGAGGATGATGCTCCTCCAGTAACGCCAAAAGCCTCAGCCGCCCCTGTCCCGACATGACCAACCCCAACTACCTTTTCTGCCGTCCATCAAGGAGGATGATGGTCACTTTTTTTTTTTTTCCAAAATACAATGTTTACTGCGAGTTTGATCAAACACGCTCAAAGGAACGAGTCCAGGCAAAAGCTTTCATAGTGTTTCTTTTTTTCTCTGTATATTCCCCTTTTGGCGACCTGTACTATACTTAGAGGATACCTTGTACCAAACAGAGGGGTTTGATATTTCTTTGCAGTGAAGACAAAACCTCGAGTCAACGCTTGATGTGTTCTTCTATCATGATGTCCAAACCTCGCTGTTACTCAATCAACGTGCTCTGCGTTAGTTCCCAGTTCCCGTCAGCGAATGCTCGCAAGTTGTGACATCACGCCGGACTAAATCCTCTATCAAGGTTGGGTCTTCTTGGTGGCCTCAATGAGCCCATTCCTCGCAAATATGATATTGCGCACAGTCGCGTCTGTTGCGCATATAGACGCATCGAATGGCTTTAGATCTGCATCGCCCATGATGGCAAGGGCAGCTAGGCCAAGGAAGCCGTGATAAATGTCCGGCGGACCTCCAGGATACTTGGAGAATCCACCGATGAGATGTTGTGTTTTGCGGGTGATGAAGCGTCGTGACGGCTCGGCGTCAATGAGATCGGTGTGACCAAGCATCTGCAAACGTCAGCAAACCGCGGCCCTCTGCAGTTGACAACAGCTTCCATGTACCTGTAGCGTCCCTCCCACCCACCAACAATAGCATGTGTCCGCGACCTTGTTACACCTTCCATTGAACCCTACGAAGCGCAGGTTTGGATCTAATGTCAGCTCACTCAATGACACAGGCAGCGCAAAGTTGGCGTGGTCAGGGTCGTCCGAGTCGTCTTCTTTCTCGAGGTATTCGAATTGGCGGTAAACCAGGAACTTGACCAACAAAGACGCATCAGGGACGCCTTGCTGAAGTATCTGGCTGTCATGCGGAGCTCCACTCTGGTCTGGGGGTCGATCAAGAAGGACCAGCGCGCTGACGGCGCACCACGCGTAGCCAGCTTCAACCTCAAGTCAGCTTTCAAAAATTCAACATCATCGCCATTGTAGCAAGAGCATACCGTGAGACTCGTTTGCATGGGAGCTCTCAGCGAGTCCACCGTCATAGGTCTGTCCTTGGCGGATGTGCCGAACGAGGCCATCAACGTCAATGTCCTCCACCCAGTCCTCGTCATCCTCCTTGGCATCCCCCCTTAGAGCCCACCGTATCGTGGCGGCCAGAAAGCATAGCCGCATGTCTCTCCCGCCTGCAATGGCCCCATCGTCCAGCACAAGCTCGCCAAAGCTGCCATCGGCCCTCTGCAGCCGCCTCAACCATCGCAACGTCGCAACGCGATCCACGCCCGCAAAGGCGGTCTTGGCTTCCTCTGGCCCGTCCGCGACGATGGCCAATATCAAAAGCGCAAAGTATGTCGAGGCCAGATTCGCCGAGCTCGCGTTCCTCGTCTTGGGCGTTCCCTTTCCAAAATCCCAGTCGGCGTATAAGTCGCTCGGCAGAGCATGGTTCGGAGAGCCACAGAAGCCGCCGCCGGGGTGGTAGAGACCCAGCACGAACTTGCGCGCGGCAGCTCGATCGGCGGGTGTGAGAAGATGGGGGGTATCCTTGGTCGGCTCGGAGGGGGAGAGTATGTCGAGGGCGGCGAGGATGAAGAAGCTGAGAGCTATGCGCGTGCTGTCGGACGACGTGTACTGATGCGGGAGGAAGGTCTTGTGGCAGCGTTGCCAGTACTTGATGTGCCGCGCTTTCTCGAGCGGCATGACTGCGTCGGCTGCCATGTTGGCTATGATGGATTAGAGGATCGCAGTCGGGTGAGAATAGAGTAGTAGGGGGTTGTTAGCTCCGGGACGTTTGGTCAAGTGAACAAAATCCCCAGATGGTTTGCAGGACCTTTCATCCCACCTCACCTCCCGGCCGGGATAGGACACAATCAGGAACGGACCCCACCCCCCACCAAAGCTGCACCTTCTCCTGAAGCAGGTTTAGCTCAGCGAGCTGCTGGAAAGAACGACAGCGCTAGCAGGGAGAGGGCCGCTAGAAGACCGCTGAACGGCGCTGAAGCCTGGCCCTGTCTCAATAGACGGGACGAATGAGAAGCTCCAGATCGATAAGCCTCGCAGCTATAGGTAGTTCGTTTCGTTTCCTTCTCGATAAGACATGCGCTGGACTTGTGGTCCATTTCTTTTCTTGCTCGACGCGACTGCGCCTGCGACTGCGACGTTAATTGTTCCCCCTCTCTCAACCAGCTTGCCTTCAGTTCCTCTCCTTGATGAAGACAGCGCATCCCAAGGATCCGTAATCATGGCGATCATATCAGCGAAAACCATCATCACTTCCCTCTCCCTTTTCCATGTCACCCTAGCATACTTCTTTCTGACGAACCCGGCCACCATCGCAGACCAGGCGATGGTGTACGTACTGGGCGAGTCGATGGGCATGGTAAGTCTCCAAAGCTTCTCTTCATTCTCCATTTCGAGCGCTAATCTCTTCTCTTTAGCCTCATGCGCGAAGCTTCGAAAACAAGTCTCCCGCCCTCGCTTTCCTCGCTGCTGTGCTTGGAATACTGGGCATCAGCGACCTCGTCACCCTCAGCATGCCTGAAGAAGTCTGGTTGATCTACCACTGGGGAACACAAGGTAAGCAACATGCTCCCCCTTCCTTATGCTTACCATTTGAAGCAGTCTCTCACAATCCAATTCTAGCACCAACTCGTATGGTCATGTCCTTCGGTTTCGTCCTCTACACCTTCCTCTTCGGCCCTTCGTCCCCCCTTTATGGCGGAACCTCGAAAGGCGGCAGTCGCTTCGCCCATCCCTCCGTCCAGTCGAACAACCCGCGCTATACACCTTCAACTTGGGGCGGTGACGGCCTCAAGAACCGTGTCTTCTTGACCTTTGCCTTCCTCGAGATGTTGTGCTGGTTCTGGGTCTGGATGACCTTGCGCGAGGAGCAGGAAGAGTTCCAGCGCAAGAACCAACACAAGAGGAGGGGAAGCCAGTCAGGGTACAACTAAGCGACAGGCTTGTCAAGTGTACTAAGCCACGAGATGGAGGTTCTGGAGGCTTCGCCCTACCACAGTAGTGATCAGACGAATATGCTTCCGCCCTACCGGAAGGCCCGGCCCGCTTGCGTGGCCCCTTTAGCATTGTGTGGAGTTTTGGGATGGCAGGCGCTACGAAAAAGGGCATACCCGGCGTAATACTCATTTGATGTACGACATGACGGTTTTCTATTTTTTGGGCTTCTGAGCTTCTGAGTGAAAGCCCCCACTACTCTAGGTAACTTGAAACAAAACAATGGATTGGTATGGGCTACATCATGAATGAAATGAGGCGTCTACTCCCATCGCACCGATTCCCAACCCTTCACATTGGACCGCCAACTGTCGGTCACCCGCTGTGACCAAACACCAACATGAGACCCTGCCACCTCGCGTATTTGTTTTGACAAGTCATCCCCAGACTCTATCTCAAATGTCCAGGAGCTCAGTTTGGCATTCAGTGTGTTGCTTTCCTGCTTCAGGAGAGCAACTCGCGTCTTGCCTTCGGTGAAGGCCGTGCTAGCTGCTGCCTCGAGAGCCTTAACTTGCGCCATCACATCCTTGGGCACGTTGCTCTGCCCGGAGCGGTCCCTCTCCTTCTCGCGATCGTTGAAAGTCGTGATGTAAGACGTCGCCAGCTTCACGGCGGCGGCAGCATCGCGAAGAATCGACAGACCGTGGAGTGAGCCCAGCATCAATAAGACCTTGGACCCTTCTGCATCAGCTGGCGTCGATAGTGCTTGCGCACGAAGGACGTCCAGGCCCGACTTGGTCGCAGACACAATGCTTGCTAGAAGCTCAGGAGGTGGCGGGCTGCGACTAGCTGAGACGGAGAGGGGAATCAGGCTGGTCAGAAGTGAAATGATTTGGTAGTAGGTCTCTTCCTGCTGAGTGAGATTCTTCCCGCGAGCGTGGAGAAATCTGCTGAAGGTGTTGCCCAGCCGCTGGAGGGATTCCAGGACGAAGGTCAGCTCTGCCGCAGTCGTCTGCGCAACGTTGGCCACTTTGTAAGACGATGCAGGCTTGAATGTCATGACCTCAAAGAACCTTTCTGCAGCGAGAGCCAAATGTGAACGCAGGTTCTGGTTGATACGTTAGAACTGGCACCTACTTAGAAGGGTGACAGGGGACATACCGATGGATCAGGGCCTAGCCGCAGAACGTCGTATATCGGGCGGCTCAAGGCAGCCTCGAGGTTCGGCACAGATCCGTAGTCGATTACTTCGTTCAGCACAGAGTTGTCGGTGACTTCTTCTACGAATAATAGTCAGCACCAGGGGACACTGAATGGGGGCAAATCAGTCTGGGCATCACTCACCAATCGCCGGCTCTTCAAAGATCGAGTCGCTGCGGATGTCCAGCGCTCGAGCAGCTTGAGACTCCTCCACATAGCCCATCACCAGGGTGCAGCTTGACCTCAGCCGCTCGGTGTAGCTAGGGATATCGAGAATGGCAGTGTAGCTCTCGGCCTCGAAAGCATCAGCCAGCCTTCTAGGCATTCTCAACTTGAGAGATGCCCGGTAGTGGGATTTCAGTCCCTGCATCAGCCCTCTTTCAGGTCTGTTTGGCGGAAGAACCAAGGTGGGCGCAATGGTTGATAGGCGGTCAAAGAAGTAGGGGCCGAGCGAATCAATAATAGTGCGCTTTACGTCTGCGGTATCCCACACTTCGCGAGCACGAGAAGCGCAGCCAAGCACAATATAGATGCGCACCAAAACCAGTGTAAGTCGGGTATGTTTTGGTGTTCTGGTGAGCTGGTCTTCGATGATGAGGGCAGCCTGAAGTAAGCGGTCAGGTCTACCGTTCTTCGAAAGAGAGGTAGGGTTGTCGATACCACGCTCGTGGGCGCCGCTCAGCCTCACACAGCATGATGCTGCAAGGATAGCAAGTTCCGGTACACAATCGAGGTAGCCGATTTCAGTAGAGTTAATGAGGGAGGAGTACAAGGTTAAAGTCAACTCCAGGAGTTTCTTGACACAGGCTGTGCAGGCAGATGACTTGTTGGTGGTGTTGCAAGTGATACACTTCCAGTCATTTGGTTTCTTGACATCCTCATTCGGTACACGAACGAGGGTCTTCGGTGAAGATAGTCCTAGGTACTGCAGCTTGTACGCAAGCACTTTCACAGATGCTGATCTCGCGGCATCCTGAGACTCTTCTGGCAATCCAATGAGGAAATCGTATGCCAGTGCTTTGATCTGCTGTGGCGGTAGCCGCTCGACAAAGCCCCTGACGTCGTCGAAACAGGCGGGTGATTCGCACTCAACCTCGATGTACTGGCGCAGTTCCTCAAATTCTTTCGACTTGGCATCTGAGCTTGACTGCGTGCTATTGGGGAAGAGAAACGCTGCTTCCACTTTTGCCAGACGGATGTTGCGCTTGTAGATGGACCGTACACCCTCCTGAGTCAGGAAGCGGTTGATGAGTTCGGAAACCTCGGTCGAAGCCCTGCTAACATCAGCCAAGGTTGGCATCAATTGAAGTATTTCAACTTACTCTTGGGTTTGTCCTATCTGACCAGCAGCATTGAGGAATTTCTTCCACACCGCATAGTCACAAGCAAGAAGGCTCAGCTTTTCGTTTTCGTCTGTAGTTGACAAACAATCCTTGCACAGGTCGTAGACAGTTTTCCACTGTCCCTTGCGCTCGAGAACTTCTATCGCCTGCAGAAACAAGTCTTTGCGTCCTTTCCTGAATTGGTAGACTGGGTTGAGGGTTGGACCCTTCAGAGCCGCCTCCCATTCAGCCGTAGAACCATGAGCCTCAAGAATGCGGTAGAAGAGAAGGATCTCTTCTTCAGTCTTGATGGCTCGGTCGGAGACTTCGCCGTTCTTCTCGGCACCGCTCTATCACTTCGGTTAGCCGCCGTGATGAATTACTGCCACCATTCTTACCTGTTCTGCAAACTGCGCGGCACGCTGCATCTGCTTCAGAGCGAGCATACCATAGAGCTGCTTCTTTCCAGCTGGGCATTGCTCATTGGTCTTTTTGTGAAATTAGCGCGCTTCTTGTCCCATTGGCATATCAAGAACTCACCGCTAGCAGATGAGTAATGGCGATGTTCCAGAAAAGAAAACTTCTTTCTTGAGGGAATGACTTGTCGAGCACTGCTGCAATCTGTTTACCCGCATCAGCATATTTAACTCTCCACAGGCTCCGGACAAACTCACTTGCTGCGCGCTAACCAAATCCCAGTGTAACAGACATGATTCTAGGCATCTCGTACCACCATTTTTGTCCTTGGGCTTAGCTTTGACGTAGCGCAGCTTCAGGGGGCCAAAGGTCTCGGGAAAGTCTTGGTCCTCGATAAACTCCTCTGACGCCCACTCGAGCAGCTCCAAAGTGTCAGGATCCCTCACGGCGGTCGGATCCTGAACCAGCTTCCGGATAGCAATGAAGGGTGACGCCTTCTCCAACGGTGAGTCCAACTGACTCTCGGCGCAGATTTTCACGGCCTGAAAGGTGTGGTTAGTTCTATTTTTGGGTTCACATTTGGCGGTGAGGTGAGAGCAAACCTCAAAATAAGGATCCTTGAAGGTCCGGAATCGCTGCTCAGCGAGACGAATGGCGTTGGCCCATTGTCCGTCATTGAAAGCCGACTGCAGCTGCAGATCGGTGCCGCTCCTCAGCTGAGGCCGGTTCCAGGACATGGTGATGCTTCTGATCGGATGGCGGGGCAGAATTAGCTTTGGAGGGGCACTGTGCTGTAAGAGTGCAGCAGGAGCTTGGGAGACGTTTAGCAACGGGGATTATGTCGCTTGATTGGTCGCTCGGGTAAATACTCTTCCCGAAATGCCGGCTCCCCCACGTTTACCTTCCTCCGGCGCTGGTGGCCGGCCGTGTCCCTCCCGAAAGCCCGATGCCGATCCGGCTGACGGTTGACTAGCAGGCCCGGATCGGAGCTAGCCATGAATTTTACGGAGAGAATTGGACTGCTTGATGGTACAAAAATACTATAATTGAGTGAGGCACACCAACCGCTCAAAACTTGGTCATCTCTCCGGGGCACCGCTCAATCTTGGATACCTAGTCTGCACACGCATGGCAGGCTTGCTTCAAGAGCAGCCATCGAAACCCAAAGAGAAGAGCTGGTATCTATCTTGAAACATAACCCAATTACTCATACATATGATGACTCCTTTCCATGCATGCGTGTTGTTTTACAAAATGTACAACGTCGTATCTTCTTGCACTCGCAAGAACTTTGTTGACTAGATTCGGTTCGGTTCGTCTCGGTATCATTTCGACGTCGGCGTCAATCGAATGCATTCAAATCACCACCAAGCACCCTGTGCCTTTCGGTCTTCCCTGAGCTTGTCGAACTGCCATGGGATTAGTGTCTGGAGATACGGCTGGCGGCGCCAACGGGGTGAGGAGGGAAGGTATCGTACCCAAGCCTTCTTGCAATCTCTGTATGCTCTAGAATATCAAGTCAGCTCCGGGTTCTCATGCAGCTCAGCAGGCGCCCAAGAGCCTCGAATAGCAGAAGAAAAGGAAGAAACTCCCGCGTACTGAAAGTAATCTCCGCACATTGCCCTGTCTCCCCCATTCCGGTGCAGGCATTTAATACTCTTCTGCGCAAGCTCTTGGCAAGGATCAAAGTACTCGCTCTTCGCCTTCCTAAACGATATATTTGAGCAATTTTGACAAAGTTGAATGTGGCAAGCAGGTTTGCCTACCCTTCGAACTTGGCCTTGCTCTCGGTGTAGGTCTCGTCGACCTTTTCGGGTGCGGCCGTCGCAGGCTTCTGAGGTTCCGACATTTCGATAAAAGGTGATCGTTCGAGTTTTGCAGGAGTTTCTCAGAGGGAGTCTAATCTTTGGTTGTTTGCGTTCAATTGGTGCAATGATTCAAAGTGCGATGCGCTGGTAATTGGCGTTGGCGAATGCGACAAACATTTGCGTCGGTGACGTTACGATTCGACGAGGTGCTCGTCGCGATAAGATAAGAGCTACATTACCTTATGCCTGGCGACTACATTGTTACCTTAATCCTAAGGCATCAGCGTTGACCTTTGTCCAAACTCCAATTCGCTGACTAAGGCTTCCTTACAAGAAGTGAATATCACCCCCGGCTGCCAAGAAGAAGAGATGGAAAAAAAGCCTAAGTACAACGAGCAGCAGAATGCCATTTGAAGCGAGCACAGGGCAATGCCCAGCAGCGAGAGAACCTTAAGATCCGCTTCTATGATTGACTGCCCAGTGTCCACGCACCGGCTCATTTTTGCCGTCAACAAATACTGCGTTAAAGGGTGGGAATCCGGCAATGCTTGCCGTGCCTGGCCGATTTTGCCGACAAACAGAGGTCTTTCCTCAATAGAGTTCAAGGTTTTCTATAACTCTATCATTAAGGTATCCGTAAACCGCATTTCTGGATAACAAGTGGTGCTCTTGTGCATGGTGTTTATTTTGACCACATTCGTCCCTCTTTTTCTACCTCAACAATACTGTGTGTCCACGATGTTGCTCTGTTAATTGTCCACCCGTATCCATCCTCCTATCTCTCTTCCCCTTCCTACCACACCGTTTTGCACACAGACACACAGAATAGGAACAGAGGCGCAATTACCCCCCTTTTTGGCCTTTTTTCTCCCTGGTTGGACACCGCCGCGCTGCCCATACGTCCACTCCCAAGTTCCACCTCCCACCGGCATCCGCCGGCACGAAAGACATACCTTGTTTATTTGTCGCTGCCAAGAACCGTCATGTGGAGGGCAACTGTAAGAGAGACACACCGTTGCTTTTGAGAGCCACACCAATCGCCAATCTAACACAAGCTCGATTCAGAAGCGCTGTCAGGCCCCGTGTCTTAGTCTGGCACGAAGCTTGAGTGTCCCTGCGTTTTTGGCTGACTGAAGAGTTTTGGCAACTTATTAATACCTTACACTCCCACCCAGTTCAAGCCCAGAAGGCATACGGAAGTCTTGGTACGGGTACGAGTGCGTCGCGTTTAGAGGACTGCGGCAACTCTCCGTTCACGGATCCTGCGGATAATGTTTTCCTTATTCAGCAGAACCAGGGCCTGGAATCTTCCCGAGCTTCCAAAGTTCCCACAATCACAGCTCGTACTCACCTCGGCGGCCCCTATTAATTCACACCGCAAAGAATTGGGCGGTGGACGGGAGAAAATTGCAGACGGGACGCAAATCCTCCGATGCCTATCGCAGGCCACCTAATAGACTTGCACCGCCGCAGTCCTGCTAGCAGGCATCACCACCAACATCGGGCGGATCTGCCAGGTTCTTGCGAAATGAGATTGCCATGCCCCCCAAGTTGGCCCGTCTCCCGAATCCAGCATGGTTTTCTTCTACTCAATCTCCACCGCCACATGCCCAACTGGCAACTGGTCTCTTCGCACCAGCCTGGGAGTAATGGGCCCCTTTTTCCATCAAGTTTGCTCTTCAGTCGAGTAGTAAACCCGCCCCCCACAGATTCTTTCCATCGCCTCGAGGAATCTTTCGTCTGCGCTTGCCCGCATGTTTGATTCTTTGATAGCCACCGGCGGCTACCAAGACCCGAACAGGGAAACAGCCGAGTGTGGTTCTCGCCGCTTAACTCGCTGTAGCGGCTAGACTAGTCAACGGCCGGCCCTCATTACTGGGTCCCAGCATAGTGCAGAGCGCAGACACCACAGAGTCGCAACGATGTTCTGTGGCCAGCAGCGTGAAGATCATGCAACATACGATCGTTGGACGGCATATGCCATCATCGTCACCGTATTATTATTCACCCTCCACTTCCGTCTCTCATCCACAGACACAGCACACCAATTCAACCGATCCCCGAACCAAGTGGCTGAAGCTCGTACCTCATGGCTCGGAAGTTGGGGGTGGGACCAAGAGACCGGCCTCACGGTTCGTCTCAGATCAGGTTGGCTTCTCAGCTCGGTTCAACAGAGGCTCCCAGAGTCCCAGCCAACTTCCCAGAACCGATTCCTAAATTGATTGACGTGCATGTCCGGGCCCGGCTCCGACACATTTTTCACGCCATAATCTCCGCTGCTTTCTCTCTTGCTCTCTCCTATTCTCTCGATCCCACAAACATACCTTTCTCTTGTCTGTGTCACTCTCTCCACCCATTCCCCAGGTCTTTATTTTTTCTTCATCAGTCACGCTCTCGTACGCCTACCTCTTGGGAACATTGCGTCTCGGGTATCCCTTACCGTGGTGGGCGAGCTGCCCTTGCGAATGCTTCTGCCAATACCCAATTCTCATTAGTCCCTTTGATCCAATAATGAAGGCATCTGGCAAGAAGATCAAGTTCCAGATCTATCCTCTCAAGACTGGCCTATGCTGTTCAGTCACGATTCGACGCGGCACTCTGAGGCTCTGAGGTTTATGGCCAACTTGTGATGACCGATGCTAGTGCCGCGTCGTGCATCAACGACCTGAAACTGGGCGATTATCTGCTTCCTTCTGCATTCTACTTTATTAATGTCACCTCCCCACTGCTCCCTGAGAGCCTGATAACAGAGTTGACAAGCCGGCAGGTGGCTCCAAAGTCCACCAGTAGGCAGTGAGCCACCAACGGGAACGTCTCCATTTGTTCGACCATGTTTCTCAAGCGAGTGCTTGACCAGCTTGAGGATGATGGCCCCTCGAGGGTTCCCCTGTCGGAGACTAGGAGGGGGGTGTGGCCACTCGACTGGGTCTTCCAGTCGCTCCAACCCCGGGAATCAAGGCCCAAGAAGGTTGTTTGGGTTAGCCGCGCCGCTGCAAGGGGCCTCGTCACGATCCACTACCACCCTGTTTGCATGTTTCACGACCCCATCCTCACTCTAATCGCAACGGCTTCATTAATGAATCCATCCTCGGTTGCGGCCGAACAGCAGGGCTTGATAGGGCCTGGCGGGATCCAACATGCTATCCATGGGCAGAACACCCCACGGACCCATTAGCCTCATCTCATTCTCTACGTCTTGCAGCGTTCCTGCAGCTCTTGGCAGGAGAGGAGGATGAGACGAAAGACTCCATCGTAGTCTACACACTGCCAGGGCAAACCCCTGCCCTCCACGAGTCCACATCAATACTTTGTATTGCGGACAACTGTGTAAGACCACTCGGAGTGGTCAGGGGCCCTGGCAGGCTGTCTTGCTGGGCAACTGACGGAATCGCCAGCTCTAGCCGCGCGATGAGGGGGCGAGATGCAGTCCCAGATTGGCTGCCTACCTTGACATAGTGCGGTGAGATGGGTCTGGGTCGGAGATGGGCATAGATGATTCGAGATTGGAGCAGGAAAGACGGGCTACTGGCCTACCTTACGGCACGGGAGATGTTGTGGATGGGGCTCTAATTACATACAACCGTAGCAGCAAAGACACGTCTTATAAAAGTCCCTCGTCCTACTACTAGACACCATTTTGTCCTCTCTCTTTTTCTCCATCATCACATCGGTGTCATTCTTTCCCTGTACTCAAGTCTCTCTCTTGTTGGCTGTGCCATACACTCATTTACGAACTAGACGTTCGCCCACGCTCACTAAGCACAACCTCAATAACACTTTCACTTCAGATCCGGCCACTTTTCAACCGAAAACTCCCTCATCACCATCAATATGCAGTTCTCATTCACCGCCGCGGCTCTTGCCACCCTCATCGGCTACTCTGCCGCCCACACCCTCACCATCGACGTCTGGGTCAACGGCGTTGACCAGGGCGATGGCCGTTCCACCGGCACTGGTACCACCAAGTACATCCGTTCCCCCGACAACAACAACCCCGTCAAGGACATCACCAGCGATGCCATCGTCTGCAACGTCAACGGCGCCAAGGCTCAGACTGGCTTCGTCAAGGCCGCTGCCGGTGACGACTTCAAGTTCGAGTGGTACCACAACAGCCGTGGTGACGACATCATCGACCTTTCCCACAAGGGTCCTATCAGCACCTGGATCGCTCCCTACACCGAAGGCAGTGGTGCCGAGGCCATCTGGACCAAGATCCAGGAGTCCACTTACGAGAACGGCAAGTGGGCTGTTGAGACTCTTGTTGCCAACAAGGGTATGTCTCCCTCGGTCACCATTCCTTCTACCCTGAAGGCTGGCAAGTACCTCATCCGCCAGGAGATCATTGCCCACCACGAGTCCGACACCACCTACGATGTCAACTCTGCCCGTGGTGCTCAGTTCTACCCCGCCTGTGCCCAGTTCGAGATCACTGGTACCGGCTCCGATGTTCCTCCCCAGAACTTCGACTTCACCACCGGTTACAAGTACACCGACGCCGGCATCCACTTCAACCTCTACAGCGCCGATGCCTCCACCTACAAGGCTCCCGGCCCTGAGGTCTGGACCGGTGGCTCCAGCTCCGGCTCCGGTTCCTCCCCCGCCTCCTCTGCCGCTCCCGCTGCGTCTTCCACCGCTGCCGCCGCTGCCACCTCCGCTGCTGCCACCACCACTGCTGCTCCCATCGCCACCTCCGCTGCTGCTGCCAAGCCCACCACTCTCTCTACGGCCGTCAGCTCTGCTGCCCCCGTTGCTAGCTCCAGCTCCGCTGCTGCCCCCGTCGCTACTCCTACCAAGGCCCCCAGCGCCGGCTGCAAGCGCCGCCGCTCCCGCAAGGCCCGCCGCTCTGCTCACTAAATTAGTGTAGCGCAGCGAGGCATGGAGAGGAGAAGAAAGAGTTGTAAGACTAAGCGGTCATAGATGGTCCTTTCAATCATGATGGTCTCACGAGTCACAAAGTTGGAGTTGTTTTTTTATCATAGACACCAGATGTGCAATCCAGGCTTACTGTGTCATGCCCGGTGCACGGTTCTAGAGGCACACGAGTTCCCGTCTTTTTGGGACTCGACCTCACTTCTGTATTCCTGTACATAGTACCTTGAATAGCACTAAGCCTGCATATACCAAGATTTTAGCGTCCTAATATTAAGTGACTTCCCTAGAAAATGTTCCTCCCAGGGCCACCGTGAGTAATCGACAGCCCAATTGAAGGTGGAGTGTGTTGTTTGGTACATTCGCCTTTTCTTTCGTAGTTCACGACTCTGCAAATCCACTTAAAACCCCCTGATGATAGCAAAATTTGCTTCAATACCCCCAGTGAAAACACGTCAGCCCACTAAGGTGAGGAGCAAGTATCAATAAAATTGTGCGGGCATCCCACAGGCGATGAGGGCCTTAGAGGCAAGCTACTGGCTACGCATATTGGAACATCAATTGCCGTTACAGGTTAATGCTGGCCTTTTTGCGGACCAGATCGGAAGACTAAAGAATGTCGCAATTAGATCTGCCAAGCAAAGGAGACAAGGAAGGATGTTGACTCAAGATCCATGCTTTTGTGGTGTATTTCATATGGCTGTTGCTGATCGTCCAATAAACTTTCAGGTCACCCAAATTACCTTACTTTGTGATATTGTCACACTTTCCCCGTAACTATCGGCCAATAGTCTTGGTTTCCGACTCAATTTGTAACATGCCACTTGCTGACCCGCGTGTTGCAGAAACTCCATTCGCCGTTGTGAGTGATATCATATACATGAACAAAGAGATCGTCAAGACGAGTTATGGTTTCTGAGCAAGAGCCATAGTATCAATTGTCACTCACACAAAAGTGTCGAGTAGTGTCATGACAGTAAGGCTACCTCACCGACAGGTTCTTGCATGGGTTTCCGTACGTTTCGTGAAACCAAGGCTCGAACTTAAGGAATCAATCAAATTAAAGTGAAGAAGGATCGATAAAGAAGGAAAAAAAAAACATTGCAAGGCTTGGCCTAGAACCCGATCTCGAGATCGGATGGGACAGTAACACAAGGGTAGTTCTTGAAGATTCATAGGCTTTGACTTCTTTCCATATTGAGTAAAGAATTTTGCAGATGGTGTATGTTCAGGTGTGGATATCTCTCGGTGGACATTTTTCATTTTGATAGCGAAGAAATCTCGACACCCGTGATTTGGTCCTTGTTACATGATTGTCGTCTCTGACAACGCGGTTGCTGGAGCTGCAACCCCTATCTGATTAAATGGCGTTCATTCGTCTGATATGATGAGCATGTGGCTTCGAGTGGCTGATTAGCGCCGCTGATTCTCTTTGCCACTTACAATGCCATTCTTCACGGAGGTAGGGAGGCTAGACAAGACCATCGCAGAGACGCCTCGCATGAGCCGGCTTGGCCACCAAGCTTCCACCCCCCACCACGCAAGCTTCAGTGCCATAGTAACACAGGCTGATACCCATAAGATATCTCCGTACGTACAATCGGCTTGCAACGCACCAGACAGTCTCAAAGAAACAGTTTCAAGTCCATCAATGATAAGCGGATAACGGTCAGCCTATAGCAAGCCCCCGCCACGTTCAGTCCGTGCTTTCGCTCCTTCCAGTACAGAAGCTGAACGCCTCGTGTTTGGAGGTGGGCGTTGACCTCCAGGGCTAGAAAGACCTCAGACCGATCCTCCTATTCTAGGCAAACTTTCACCTGGGTCGATATATCTCTGTGCCTGGGCAAAGATACTGGTTGAGGGCAGCTTGCTGAAGAATGCGTGTGGTCACCTTGGAAGCGCCGCTCTGAAATGCGTCGTCGAGGGTCTCGGGACCCATATATCTCCGGGGATATTAGTGTCCCATTCCTAACCCGCAGATGCCACGCCAAATAGGAACCTCGGGATCTTGAAACGGTTGAATTCCTCTATGATGATGGGGGTCAATCCTCAATTGGCTTTGCCTAGTGTGTAAGAGGTTCTCGTCCTCCCGCGTTTTCCTATCGCTGAGTAGTGGGCCGAAGCTCGACTGGAGTCTTACGCCGGAATCACGGCCCCGTCGGAGATCGAAGCTCAACATCCGGGCACAAAGAAAAACGTGCTCTGCCGGGCGCGCGGGAGACTAGACGAACTTACGTCAGAACTTCACATGCAAGGGAGCATGCGGCTAAAGTCCGCCACTAAAGCTTAGACGAAAATACCGGCTTACAATCCATCGCCTTCTCGCCTTTTAGTTCCCCTGAGGCTCACCAGAACCCTGAACTCAAGTGGCTTAGTGGAAGAAGAGCGGGCAGAAGAAATGGCCCATCTGTGCGCCTCTTTCTCTTAGGGCTGCAAGTTGGAAGTCTGTTGCTCGGTGCACCATTGACTCCAAAGAAATTCTTGCAAGACCCCGGCTTCCAGCCGCAACGGGATCGACCCGGCTCTGGAACCCGAGTAGCCGGGGTGATCAATGCCATCTGAATTCTGCTCAGAGTTCGGACGAGAATCGACGGACCGCTGCAAGGGCTTTGAAAGGCTGCAAGGTTGATGTAGGCTAGCTCTTTGGGGGTTCCTGTTCTGCTAATTCGTGCTTTCAACTTATCGTGTAAGACATCACCAATCAGCTTCTTTGAAGGCAATGTCCGACGGAACCCCTCGTGAGATCGTAATAAGTCTTGTAAGTGGGATGAGCTCGAAAGTAAACAAACCAGCTTCGACGAGAACCCAAACAGACTTCCTAAACCAATTTCTCACTCTGGCTCAAATAGGGTACGACCTGATTCTAGATGGTCAAGGCACGGGGCGAATTTGGCCGAGGAATGCGCCACCAAACAAGCGCTCTGCGCCGGTGTCTGCAACAAGATTGCCCGAGCGGCAACAGGAATGATAAGGGAGAGGAAGCACTAAAAATCAGCGTGAACGACGAGACATCAACAACAACAACGCAACGAAGATTAAAAGAACTGCGGGTTGCATGTGAATCTTCATGGGTGTAACCTTAACTTCTTGATCGAACCCCGATGCTTTCGTTCCAAGCTCTCCAGCTACATACTTGGCTCAACCCGCAATCTCTCTCGATATCCTTCTTTCGTCCTACGTTTTGGTTTTTTCTTCCCCAGAGAGTCGCTCCGATGCCGTTCATAGCAGCAAAAAGATCTCCCACAACCTCACCTGTCATGCCGTGGCTATCGAGATCACCATCGCATCAGTCACCCACCGGCTCACCACGCACATCACCAAGGAATAGCACATGCGGACCGATCAAAACATGCGGACCTTCAGTAACATACATCCCACCACTTATCGATGGAGCTTGTGGAACCGTACCACTAGCACAGAAGCCGACTTTGCCATTGCTTCATGAAGATCTACGGGAGATGTGGCAGATGATGCCGGGCTTAATGGCTTCGCTAAGAACACACGTCGCCAACCACCGTCAGCACCTTTCCAAGAGCCACCTCAAGGACATCGTCGTCCAACTCAGTCTGGCCATTGTTGAAGTTGGGATCGTGACACTCGCCATTCCTTTGTTCATTATTCTTCCGGGGATCTTGTTTGGGGCTTGGCTAGGAATCTCAATGAGCATGGTGTTGGGTCTTAGTTGGCTGATGAACGGAAATGAAGTTATGGCCAGCTGCGACGAGTTTGGAAACAGCACAACTGACATTGACGATGACGAGGAGAGATGGATCTTCATTGGCGGGATGGGCACGAGGTATGTCCCCTTCTCTTTCATCTCTTTAGCAGCGATCATACGGAAACTAACACCCACGAAGCTCGACGCACCTCAAACAATGCACAATCCCTCGACTTGCCCGCCTTTTTGGGCGCTCTTTCAGCGGTATTCAGATGGCAACCTACGGGCTCCCCTTCGACATGCTCCTCCTCGCCATCCAGCGGTGCTTCCCTTTCGAAACCCAAGCCTCGCGCGCCCTCTACACCGAGCTCCGCACAGCCCTCCTCGACGCCGCCGTCCACCGGGTCGCCGTACTTGCCCACAACAACGGCTCTCTACCCGTTGCGCACGTTCTCGCTCGCCTCTGCTCCGATATTCAAGCCGAAAAGCTCTCGAAACTCGAGATCTACACCTTTGGTGCCGCGGCTTCAGAATTTGTAGCACCTCTCGGAGAAACCAGCCGCAAGGTCACCCGCTTTGAGGATGGATCCACCGCGGTGGTTGAAGAACGTGGTCCTCACATCGAGCACTTCGCCTACGCCAACGACCCATTCGCTCAGATGGGCGTGCTCCGGTCTGTTCAAAAGAAGCCTGACGGCCGATTCTGTGGCGGCGTTTTCGTGATCCAGAACCAGGTGCCCCAACCCTCTGGCCACTGGGTTCCCGACCAGCGTCCCGTGATGCTTTTGACAGACTATCTCTCGGCCCTCTTTCCCGATCCTTCATCGCCACAGGCTCCCAGCAGCATCCTCGACTACGTCATGATGATCGACCGCGACATTGCCGAGAAGCGCGAGCTCGCTGCCATGGCAAACTACGCGCAGACGCGCCGATCCCGTAAGGACAGCCGCCGCCTCAGCTGGACTGGTCTAGGAGCGACTGTCGGCGGCAGAAGCGGCGTCATGGACGGTGTCACTGGACTCGAGATGGCGAGACGCGGATGCCGCGACTGCGACGGCCATCGTGGACGCGAGGTCAGTTGGCTCTCCAACTACGTGCAAACCGGCTGGGTCGTCGAGAAGGAGGCTCACGTCGTCGATGCCATGGGTGTTGGAGGCAAGTTTTAACAACCTTGACTGATCTGGTCTACGCTACCATGACCCCCTAATTCGTAATGTTTTACATCACTTACTGAATTCTTTGCGCTCACAAAAGATGTTTCATTTGGACGGGACTGGAGGACGTTCGAGGGTTTTCCCACTCAGAGGACTGTATTATTTTTTCCATCAGCATTGGGCGTCGGGGTTCTCCGGCTAGGAGAACATTGAAAGAATCATGATATAACGAGTCAAATGTATTATGGGATAGAAGGGCTGAGAAGCATCTCGCCCTCTCCACACTCCGCTTGGATAGATGCGGATTTGGGACTGGCGCTTCGGAATGGGCATATAGATGGAACAAGGTGCTAGTTAGAATAATTCAGACACGTACATCTCCCCAATAGTATGTTTTGATATCCGCCCCAAGGAAGTCGTCATTGTACTCCCGGCCAACCTCGTCGTTAGCAGCACCCGCACATACCAGCAGAGGCATGAAGTGCTCCGCGCCGTAGCGAGGGTGCATTTCGTAACTGTGAGAGAATTTGCGCCAGTTGGACAGCGCCTTGACGCGGTCTTCCCGCTTCTCTAGGAGTGCGGCGCCCGTCAACTCCTTGTTCCATTCGTTGACTTGCGTCCCGATCCTCTTTGCCGTTGACGGGTCTCCCATCATGAGTGACCGCAGCTTTCCCATGTTATGAAGCGAAGCAAAACCCGAGCCGACGACGGCAACGTTGGTGTCGCGCAGGGCTGAGAGGGCCCGACCCATGCGGAAATGCTCCTCGGGATCCTCAGAGGCCAGCACTGAAAGCTGAATGACTGGAATGTCGGCGGCTGGGTGAATGAGGAGGAGTGGAATGAAGACGCCATGATCCCACCCTGAGTTGAATGTTAATCTAGGATTACTGCAGCTTGGGTGCCATTACTTATACTTACCACGACGTGAGTTCATTACCGGTGAGAGACCCTCCTTCTCGAGAGCCTGCTTCAACTCATTTGCGATACTTGGCGATCCCGGAGCGGGATATTTGAGTGAGTAAGCCTCTCGCGGGAAGCCACCATAGTCGTAGTACAGATCATGGCGCTCCCCTGATGAGATGGTTGGTGCGCCTTCCGACCAATGGGCCGTTACAACCACAACGGCTCTCGGTGCGTCTGGTGTGTTGAGCTTTAAAATCTTGGGCACGCGCTTCTGGAGTGATGCGGTGATGGAAGCGTGGCCAGGGTCTCCAAGAACAGGCATGGGACCTAAGATGTGTAAGTCAGCACTGAAGCTTCCTGGGATTCTCAGCGGAGTTCAACGTACCTCCGCCGTGCGCGACACAAATTGCTGCAGCGCGTGTCATTGTAGGTGATGATGTTCTGAGTTTTCGTCTGGTGATCCAATTGATTCTGGGAAGTCGTAGAGTTCTAGTCAAATAAGACAGAGTTCTTGTTGCTGTTGTCATCCGATGCTGTTCAAGTGCTACTAAGACCCTTACTAACCCAACGGATGGTAGGGGGACTAGGAGGCTCAAATAGCAACGGCATCCGTTTAGTTGGCTTCGATTTGGTCCTTTTTCATTGGTCAAAGGGTGATACGCCGGGATTGTCACCGTCCGGGATCAGATTGGTAATACCCGCGCGGGACCACAATGGCAAAGGAATCAACGCCACGACCCTGCGGCAAATCAGGACGGCTAGAGCTGATTCAGCTGGATCTAATGTGCTTAGAATGGACCATTTTCAATATCACTATCTGGTAGACAAGTGAGCCGTCATTGCAGTTTGATCATGCGTTGGATTACTGTCTTCCCCGCGCGGTTCGGAACCGGGATCGGAATAGTTTCCGAGTCATTAAATGGGTCTTTCAAGTTTCGGTGAACAAGAACTATCCGTTGTAAGCATAGGCCTAAAGCCTTCCCACGATTCGTTCACACGAAAACAGACACGGTCTCACGGCCGCTGCCGACAGCACGAATTCTGCCGTCAATCTCAAGCGGGCTGCCCTCGTACACAGCAAAGTGGCGAGCCTTCTTCGACTGCGTCTCTTCAATACCGAGAATCTTGTAGACGTTGGAGGAAACCAGATCCAACGCCTTCTTCTCGCTCAGCCGACCATTGCCGTTCTTCTGCGCAATGCCAGCAAGCAGTCCCAAGTCACGGATCAACCAATCTTCCTCCAATCCAATGGCAGTGACGACCCCAGCGTCTAGTAGAGTGTCAATGGCGGTGCCATTTGTGAGAGGAGCACCGGTCAGAGAACGTCTTTGGTCCCAGGTGTACGAGTATGACTGGAAAGGTGCAAGAAGCACGCCAACACCGGCAGCGGCTAGCTCTGGAGCGACGAGATGAGACTCAGCGCCTCCGATGATAGAGACACGAAGCTTGGGAGACTCCTTTGACTGGCTCTTTGCAGCCAAGGCCTCCTCGACTGTGGCCTTGACTCTGAGAGCGGCGACAATGGTGTCCGCGCTATGGACTGTGAGGACCAAGGGCAGCTCTCCGTTAACCACCTTCTTGAGGTAGGCCGCTTCTGAAAAAGGATCCGATCCGGTGTCATTGGTCGCGACTGCCTCCAAGAGAGTGTGTCGGAGCTTGCCAATGGCATCAGAGATCGACGGGTTATCGCCTCTCTTCGCAGCGAGAGTCAATGTACGATGAACCGCAACGTCCTCGGCCCAAACAGCGCCCTTCTCGAGCGAGTGCTTGGCATCAGTATTGAAACCAACACTGGTTCCAGAGTGCGTCAATCCACCTGTGAACTTGGGCGCCGAAATTGCCTTGGTGACGCCGTATTTCTTAGCTATGTGCAGCTTCTTGTTGTCGAGCACAAGGCCGTCAAGACCACGACTGAACCCAGTGGGGTTACGGCCGTTGTCTGTGTCCGCCTCGTTGTCAATCTCGTTGAGACCAATGAGGGAACCGAACGCAGTGAAAGTCTCGGTGATGTGGCCATTCTTCAGGTCAACAACCTTCTTCGACGAGGACTTGGCGGCCTCAACATCCTCGGTACAGGCGCCAATGCACTTAATATCGCCGTTTGAGAAGACAACGTTCACCGTTTCGCCGTTGGCTGTGCTAGCCTCCTCGCCTGACAGCCAAACGTTGGAAACGCCAGTGAAAACAACTTCCTTGAGATCGGTGGTGTCCTCGGTAGTATTGGCCAGTTTGGGATCCGGAGAAATAGGGCCGTCAAGAGGCTTGTTGAGCTCGAAGGGATCAGAGAATTGGGCAGCTCCATCAATCCACACTTGCACAGGCGCGGCACCAACACTCAGAGGATCGCTGTCCCAGACAGCAATGTCGGCATCGAATCCAGGCTTGATCTTGCCAATTCGCTGGCCCAAGCCCAACAACTCGGCAGGGGCAGATGTCACGCCGGACAGAGCTGCATGGTAAGGGAGGCCATATCTGTAAGCCTTGGCGGCCTCGAAGAGGACATGCTGGGCGTTCAAGACCGGGTTATCACTAACGTACACGGGGGTAAGGCCGTTCTCCCAAAGGATCTTGCCAGCGTACTCGGAGCCAATGTACGACTCGGACTTGTAGTACATGTTGTCGGCAAACAGCGCAGAAGCAGGTGGGCGACCACCCCAGACGCGCTTCAGGATCTACATAAGCTTGTTAGTGATGAGACCAGGAACAGACAAATCGGAGACACGCACCTCGGGAACTAGGAAGGTCTGGTGGGCGTGGTGGAAAGCCCGCACCGGGAACTTGAACTCGTTGGTGTGGTCAACGAATGCTTCCAGGTCCGGAATCGTGTAGCAGTGGGTGTTGATGTGCACTTGGCCTCGCAGGGCAGCACTGAGACTCTCCCACTTGAGGTCTTGGGGCAAGTAAGATGACTGGCTCTCCACTCCAAATTTGTCGGCTGCCGCACACCAGTCGTCCTGCTCTTGCACAAGCTTGGCTGCCTGCTCAAAGGCATGACGGAACTCCCAGCTCTCGCCAAGACGAGAGAATGGGCTGTGTCCAACCTTTCCGTACACACGCTTCGCGTTCTCTCCACATGCCATCTTCATATACCGCCAGTTGCGATCCGGGTCCGCCAGCATATCCTCCGCAGAAAGCTCGGTGCGGCCATCGGGCTTGCCAACAGCATGCTTGATAACAAAGGCCTCGCCTCCCATGTTGTTGCCAGAGCCTGGCAAAACCAGCGAGGTAGTTACACCTCCAGACTTGATGACCTGGATCTGTGGGTCGAGGGGGTTGAGTCCATCGATTGAACGAACGTAGGGAGTAATGTCGTTGGACATCTCATTCACATCCTGATTGCCGACGAGCTCGGGCAGGGCACCAACACCGGCGTGGGAGTGCATGTCAATAATACCGCTGGTCAATTGGCGGCCCTTGGCGTCCCAAATTTGGGTATCCTTGGGAAGGGAGTCGAGGGAGATGTCGGCTTCGACCTTTTGGATCAGGCCGTAGTCGATGAGGACGTCAGCAGTGATCCACGAGTATCCTTTGCCGGCACGCGCGTCTTCTGGAGAAGTACCCTCCACGGCTTCGCCAATCCAGATAGTGGCATTGCGGATGAGCGTCGGGCGCTGGCCGTCGACAAAACGAGCATTCTTTTCTCGGCCGAGGCCAATTGGATCCTGTGGCTTGTGTCGCAACTTCGCACAAGTCGCCAAATCCTGCTGCAGACGCTCCGCAGAGAGGGAGGAGGATGGCTCGCGGGAAGGCAGTATTGAGATCTGCTTCCATTGGGCAAAGGCAATGAACGCAAGACATCCCACGATGAGCTTCATGCTGCGTCTGGGTCGTAGCCATCGTTTATGGTAGTGAGAGTGCCGAGGGCCCGAGGGCGGTGGGAGGTCCGCGGCGCTGTACGGCGGCAACATGCTGCTCTTTTCCGAATCCATGACAACAACGTTTTGGTGTTGTCTGAAGCAAAAAAGATCAAGTGACAAACGCTGAAAAGTTCTAGGAGCAAGGGATATGTTATATTGGCTCCAAACCTCTCAGCATTGGGTTCCTTGGGAGAGCCCTTGGCCCAATCAAGAAGGTGACTGACGGTTCGGCTGGATTATCGGCCGACGTTTCAAACCCAGAGCGCAGACATCGCCGGCGACAATGAGCTTTGGGAGTATCTGGAGGGGCACACGGGGAAGTGATCGCTTCTCTTCGGTCGCGACTTCGGCAATGTGAGTGGTCAATGACATGGATGATGGTGAGAGCGTGGAGTCGAATGAGGAGCTCACCCCTGCCAGAGCTTGCGTGATTACGTAGCTGAAGAGATAAGCTTCTGCTGACTTATGAAGCCCTTGGAGCATTCAGAGTTGAAGAATGATGACTAACCATGGAGCACTTGGCTCTCCTATCTTATCTCGCTCCCCTCTTATCGATTATCGGCATGTCAAGTCCGATTGCGGGGTAGGTAGAGTCATGCATTGTCACCACCAGGCAAGGAGGCATTCAACCCCCCTTGGTCTGCTTCGTCTTCGACGGGAGTCGAGTCCATCACTACTGGCAGTGAGAGGTTTTGTCTGATGGATCCAGTTTCTGACTCAGCTTGATGGGGCTATGTTGAACTCTCCTCCATATAGAGACATGCCATAAGCGATCATAGTGCTCAATGAGATGAAAACGTGGAGCTGGCTGGATTACTCGCCATCATGTCTTCTTGAGAAATTGAAGGTAAATCCAACGGGTTGAGAACTGAGGAGGTAAGGAGGTGTCTTGACATAGCGTGTGCGCGCTACAGCCATGGAAGTGCCTTCTCTCCGGGAACTAGCTGGGGCAGGAAGGTCGAGCAGGCGGTTGAAGCATTGAGATGCTCAGGTTCTATTACGTACGATATGATCAAAAAGCTGACATCGCGGTATCACAAAACGACATCATCAGATTCGTTGGAGTCGTTATGTGGGTGGCAAGCGGCGTTTGCGGGGAAGCATCGGATCCAAGTCAACATCTCAGGCGGGAGATCTACTGCGTGGTAGAATGCCACACTATGTGTTTGATACGCTATTTACGCTGGGCCCGACGCATGCATGCAGAGTTGGAGAACCTGGAATGCATGGAAGGGTCTCTTTTTACTGCCCAAATGAGGTGAATTTCATTGGCCAGGCCAATCGAGGCCAGACGATTGCCGGTGGTCTCAATCTATTGCCCAAAAGAGGTATCGTGGCCCTGGGCGAGATCCCACGACTCGGAAAGTCTACAGAGTACTAGCGGAGACTTAATGGCGTCCGGCTGTCTGGGCCGATAACGGTCTGCTCTTGGCTCCCCGACTTGTATCAGGGATCCTCGCCGTATAAGTTGGCTGTTATCCTGAGTCACGTCAACAGTTCGTTTCTGGGCTGAAACGACTCAACTCATCTCGTCTTATAGTTGCTTTAAACATCTTGCCTTCTACTGTGTAGACTTCACATCCTACATTATTCCATAACGCCGATATGTTCCTCCTCTCAGCTTTGGCGGTAGCTGTGCTGCTATTCTCCGCATGGAGATGGAAGTGGAGATATGCCACAAAGGTGTGTATCCTTATCTTTGAAAGATCACACGGAGAGATCTGACTGTGTAAAGGAAAAGCTGGCCGGAAATGGTACCCAGGAGAAATCAGATGAAAAGGCCGGTATAACGCCTCTGAAAGATTTTGACTGGCAGAATATCGATCCCGCCAAGCACCGGCCATTCAAGCCAGTCTATCACATCACCATGGGTACCACAAACCTCGCACAAGTAATATTTCTTGCGTTCTGACGGAGTTCCATCTTAGCCATCCAAGCAAGCCCGCCTGAAGATCTCATCATTATAGACAACAACTACCTTGATCGAGTGACTGAACGTCGTCAACTTCTGCAGGAGCATACATCAACGGTAGCGGGCGCTGTGCCAGAAGGCCTACCTGCTCTCCATGAGGTCTGGACCTATATGCTCTCAGAGTATCTGCCGAAGCGATATCCAACCATGTTCTCCTTGTCCGAGGGCAAGACTGAGTTCCATAACCACGTTACCAAGGCGTCATTGCCTCTCACGCCGCCGGAGGACCCCGTTGCTGCGCTCAAGGCTCTTGGAGAGACCGTGGAAGATGACATCTTTTTGCTCGTTGAGACACCAGAGGGCCATCGTTGCGTGGCGTTCGTCTGCTGCCATCCCGCTGGATTCGACCCGTCCAATAAGCTCGGGAAGCTGATGAAGGACATTCACACTCCGGTGCCGTCATATGAGAAGATTGGTGCAAGTATGGAGCGTTTCTTCTCTCGATTGCAAGTCGGGAAGAGCGTCAAGCGAATGAACGTAGGCTTACTTATTCTTGGATACCTAGAGGCCTTCAGCTGATGGATGATATAGTGGTCTGTTTCTACGCACGAGAACCTCTTCAGTCCAAGCAACTTGCACATCTACGAAGGCGACAAGACGGAAGAGGACGAGGATGTCGATATTTCAAAGGTGAGAGAGCCGCTCTTAACATTCAATGTGTCATGTACCAGGAAACTCACATCACTCAGGCTCGTTTGCGCCAAGAACTACAAACTTTGACACGACTTCCCAATACGGGAGCGATCATGTTCTCATTCAAGACATATCTCACTCCTATAGAAGAGGTGAAGAAGGAGGGGTGCGGGCTTATACTTGCGGACGCCATAGAAGGGTTGAAGACGGGTAATGCACCTGGCATGTGGGTATACAAGGGGGCGTCGCGTTGGGGCAAGAGCGTCTGCGAGTATCTCCGATCGTGAGGAGGTAGGACTACAGAAGAGTAAGCGAGTCTTTAATACGTTGACTAGGAGGATAAGACATCTACTTTCATAGGTAAGGTACTTGGAGAGTAGAATAAATCTACGGTTGCTACCCTTTCTCATCATGACATAGCTGTTCTTTCTCCATAATGATGATTGTTGTCTTGCATATCTTACTTATCCGTTGATCACAGCTGATCTGAAGCCCTGGCTAGAAAGTCGGGGCGGCTTGCGGACAGTCCACAGTCTCGGGCCCGGGCATGCATGTCTGTCTCGGGAGATCTCCCGCTTTATCCGTACTTCTTAACATCCAATACTAATAGGCAAAAGTACCCTTGTGACCTATTACTCAAGGTGAATTAAGGTGAGCGATAGCCGAAAAGAAGAACGTTATTTCGGGTATAACACATCACGTCATTGAAGGCCCTTCCCACCGCCACGCCGTCGCCCACAACCCGATAGTGGCAGCCGTTGCAGGCGGCAGAAGCCTTGCAGTTTGACAGGCGGTGGTGGCTTTTTGATTTCAAATTGAGTTTTTGGGATGAACTTGGGTGCTTGAATATTGGCAATTGCACGGCGGAGGCCCAGAGAAGGGTATTCCCGGTTGTGCCGAAAAGGGGCACTTGCGGCTTGCTTGTTTGGGGACGGCCCCGATCCGGCCTAGCGGACCCACTCCGCGCTCCGTATGCAAATTTCCCACCAGCAGAAGCTTCGCACCTAGGCGGCTCTCTCTCAACTGCATGGTACAACGTGCGTTCTCCCAGTCTTTTAGCACCCCCTGCATCGCCATCCATACAAGATGCAAACGAGATGTGGGCTCGACTTCATTAACATCAAGCGCCCACCCAACGCCCTGTTCATTTCTCTCTGGCTGTGTTGGTCCGCTTCTCCCACCCGAGCCCAGGCCCTGGCCTTTCCATGACTCCTTTCGCCGCGGAATCCTGCAGTCTCTGCCTCTTTGCTCCTAGCCAAGTTGCTATGCGGCATGCCTTGCCTTGCCGCCGCAACCTGGGACCTGCAGGCCGCACATGTACGGATATGGCGTGGCCTCATCAACCATGGCCTCACCTGAAGCCAGGGACAACTCCGCAATCTAATCCCACTTACACTCACAGGCCTATCCGTACACTACCTGTCGCTTGACAGAGGCTTGCAGAGATGAACCCGCCGAACCGGGAAACCTTGCCGTGAAACAAAGTGCTTCTGCAAGGCCCATTTCCCCAAAGGAGTCTTTTACTCTATTCCTCGCAGCTAAACCTGCGGGGTCATCTCCTTTCCAGGAACCACGGAGCGAGGATGGAATTGAATGTTCGTCCCAAGGGGTGAAGACTAGGAAGCCAAGGGGGACCTACATAAAGGAGCTCGTCTGCCAACGCGTGCCGCCATGCCTCGTTTCGTTTGAGCTTAGCTACATTCTCTATCGTACATTGAACTTCCTGAAGCAAGGCCAAGGCATCGATTGCTGCGACCTGCGTCCTCTCTTTCTTTTCGAAACATTCCATTCGTTCAAACCCTTGAATTCAAGCTTTCTCCAAGCCGCCCGGTCGGTTTAGGCATACACACGCTCACTTACACACCCAAAACTCCCAAACCAACCACACCACCACCACCAACCTGCAAAAATGAAGTTCACATGGAGCATCGCCAGCGCGGCTCTGCTGGCCACCCGCGCCCAGTGCGAGATCCTTTGGGATGGTCGCTTCAACGACATGACCTCTGCCACTGACCTCGACAAGTGGTCCTGGAGCAGCCAGGTCGGCCCCTACCAGTACTACATCCACGGTTCCGGCGCCACCACCGACTACGTCAACCTCTCTTCCGACTTCAAGAACCCGGCCGACACGGGCTCCAAGCAGGGTGCCAAGATCTCCCTGACCAGCACCTCCTTCTGGAACGGCCAGACCATGCGCCGCACCGAGCTGATCCCCCAGACCACCGCCGCCATCGGCAAGGGCAAGCTCTTCTACCACTTCTCCCTGAAGCGCAGCGACACCAACGCCCCTTCCCTGAACAAGGAGCACCAGATCGCCTTCTTCGAGAGTCACTTTGTCGAGATGAAGTCGGGCTGGCAAAGCGGTGCCACCGGTACCGAGGACCCCCTCCTCCGTTGGGTCGTCGGCGGCAAGACCGAGTGGAGCGTCAACTGGGACGCTGACGTCTGGCACAACGTTGCCTACGAGATCGACTTTGACGGTGGCTCCGTCGGCTTCTGGCACTCCACCGGTGCCGAGGCCCTGACCCAGGTCGTTGCCCCCGTGACTGCCTCCGCCTCCAGCAACGGTGCTGACTGGCACGTCGGTGTTCTCGAGCTCCCCCGTGACGGCTACGCCGACGAGACTGAGGACTTCTACTTCTCCGGCGTCTACATCGAGAACGGCGAGATCACCAAGGCTGTCGGCTCCGGATCTTCTGACTCTGGCTCTTCTGCCCCTGCTTCCTCTGCCGCTCCCGCTGCCACCTCCGCTGCCGCCGCCTCCTCCTCTGCTCCCGCTGCTGCCGCCCCTACCACCGCGGCTCCCACCACCACCGCCGTGCCCACCACCAGCGCTGCCCCCGTCTCCTCCACCGCCCCCGTCGAGTCTGAGCCCGCTTCCTCCTCTGCCCCCGTCGCGACTCCCGTCTCCTCCGCTGCCCCTGTTGTCTCTGAGGAGCCCTCCGCTCCTGCTGCCACCACCCCGGCTGCCGCCACCACCAGCTCTGCTCCCGCTGCCTCTGCCAGCGCCAAGCCCGCTTGCCGTCGCCGCCGCCGCCGCAACCACGCTAAGCGCAACTAAGCGTCTCCGTTGTTGTTGACAGGAGCCTGAGGAGGATGAATATCGCTTCGGTGTCCCTTTGGACTCCGAAGCGAGGATAGGACCACTTCTGATGTACATATCATTTTTGCATATAAGACTTGTCACTGTGCCTATTGGACTTAGTTTTGAATATATTCTTCAGTGTACGATACCACCGCTGCCCGCTCTCTTCATGTCTGAACTGTGAAAGTGAACTAGTGACTTACCACTTGATGACCCCTTGCTTTTGTTGCCTTGCTAGATTCACCTCTGGGTACAAGTGGCGAACGGCGAAACCTGACAGAGTATTTGGCCTGTCTATGTAACATAATACGCTCGTACATCAGAGGTACTTTGCTACCTGCTCCTCAGTCCATTTCCAAAAGTCTTCGGCGAGGCCTGTACCGCCCTCTTCGCGGGACTTGGAGCCCTGCACAAGGTCATCCCGAATGGCATAAAAACGACCCCATGGAACAACTGGGAGAATTCCGATTAGCAACTTGTAAAAGTTATCAAACAGGGTTGTTGAACACACCCCAATCGCCCGTCTTCTCGATGGTCACATCGGGAGATAACGCCGCAAATAATTCAGTGTATGCACCGTTAATGGCAGGATATGTGGTGGCTTTTCTGAACAACGTCGGAATCAGCGCCGTGATGTGGCGATCCAGCTCTGACGAAAGGTTTCCCGGATTCAAGGCCTTTGTGTGGTTAGTTGTCCATTTCGTATTCTCGGAATTGTGCCAAGACTTACGAGACTGATGACGCCGTCGGCCTTGTGCCGCTTGGCGAACTCGGTAGAGTGAAAATAGTTGCCCGCCTTGCTGATGCCGTACTTGAACTCCTTGATCCTATCTCTGCTGTAGTCCAGGTTGTCAACCTCAATGGCGGGGTTGGGCGACAAGACCTCCGCGGCTGAGCTCGACACCCAGACAACGCGGCAGCTGTCTTTGGGTGCTGTCTTGGCCGTTTGCACCAGAGTCGGCGTCAACAGCTTGGTGAAGAGGAACGGGCCGACACAATTTGTTCCCAACTGTAATTCATACCCTTGCGCTGTTTTGCTCCCCTGAGGTGGCATCATGACGCCGGCATTGTTGATGAGAAGATGCAGTTGTGTCTCCTTGGCGAGAAAGGCATCGGCTGCGGGTTTGATGGTGGTGAGGTCGGCCAGATCCAGAGTGAGAAGATCCAGCTTTCCTGTAGAGTTAGGTACTGCCTCCTTGATAGCGCTGATGGCTAAACGGCCCTTTTCCTCGGAACGAGAGGTAGCGTAGACGGTGGCGTTCTTGGAGTACAGAATCTGTGCGACTTCCTTGCCAACACCAGTGTTTGCTCCCGTTACGATGCAGACCTGCGACAACGTGTAAGTATCAAGCGAGTCATATCGATGGTATTACATGAGATACTGACCCTGCCAGAGAGATCAGGAATATCCTTCTCGGTGAATTGGGGCCGCGGCGGAAAGGCCTGGGTGAAGATGCTGAATGGGTTGAGCATCCTGACTGACTTGTCTCCCTTGAAGCAATCTTGAAGCAAGCAGAAACGGAGTAATCTAGTCAATGCAGGACAAACGTAATAATGAGTGATATAGAATAAATCAAGTGTGACCACGAAGACCGACGTCACCAATCCAACGGTTAGACACAAGCGCAGAAGATAGACTGATGTTCTGTAAGGTAGAAGATGGTCCAGCTGTGACCGCCGGAGACTTCATTGGCCCGAAGCTAACTTGGAATGGTGGAGTGCGCCTTTGCCGATTTGGGAACAGCTCTGGACCTCACCGAGACATTCTCTGGTTTGTTATTGGCCAGCACACCGAGATTGATATCCCACCGGCCTAACAAGGTGCTGACATGCGATCGAAGTTGATGGGACATAAGCTACTTAGGTATTACCTTACCTTCTCTATATCTAGTACCTACCTGCCAGGCATGTTGATACCTTACCTTGATTTGATGGGAATTCAGATGTTACTGAAAAGCTATCTGATCTGCTTACTAAGGTAGGTGTGCAATGAGATAACACTGGGTGAAACCTCAAGAGGGCGCCTTCCCCGGCCGTGCAAGCCGAGCCACGTGATGCTTGTCAGGCGACCGGTGTGGGGTGGGGCTGCCGAAGGAACATCAGCCGGGAGTCAATTCGGCAATGTGATTGGCACGGCGTCGCGGTCTGGAACTGATGGCAGCACGAGCCAACGTCTAATGCACGACTGCAAGACAAGACCCAAAGACCACTTTTTCCTGTCTATCCTTTCAGCCACACATAACCCGCTCTTGGCCTTGCTACCTATTCGTTGGCTTTGCTTTGGTTGCTAAGGTATCTCATTCTCCCCTGCTACCGATACCTTACCTTTCCTTACCTCGCCTTACGGAGTATCCGTACTACCGTACAGATACACTACTACGTACCAACAGACTACCCAGTCTTCAGAACAGACCACACGCTAACGTGCCGACCGAACAAGAACCAAACATCGGAAAGTGTGAGCCTCACCTTTTCTTGCCTGGGCCACAGATCGCACCACACACTGCACACTGCACACTGCACCGACACCGCACAATCGTCGCATCTGGTTGTTTGGAACGAAACCTCGCCGTTCCAGTCTCGCACCCCCCGATCAACTTCCACCTCTTCCAGCGACACACTATATCCATCAGGTGCACCACCTCTCTTTCGCGACTCCCGCCTTGGCAGCCACGCCCCACCAAGAGATCGTCCTCACTTCAGCCTTGTGCGTGTGTGTGTCGGCACGTTGATGCACTCCGCCGCGATATAAGGAAGCCAGAGGCGTGGATCGTGCTGTCCCACTTTGCACCTTCTATTCGAATTCTCATGCCCCTCGCGCCTTCCCACTGATGCCAAGCTAAGGTACGGATCGCCAAAGACATGCTCTGATTCGAGGCCAACCAAACAATCCACCTACCAACTCTCCTCTCGCCAATCCCTCATCTGCTTCCACGATCGACCGGCCAGCTGCGTCTCCAGGTGCTTCCAACACTCTTGCGCGACAACTTCAACAAACCGTGCACCTGCAACTATCGGCCGCTCCGGATCGAATATTTACACCCAACATCTACAAATACTGTTCCAGGAACATCGTTCGTCCGGCGGCATCATGTCTCTTCCCCGTACGTTCCTGCACTCTGGGTTTCGTTGCCTACCACGCCGTCGCTAAACTGATTTACCCAGTGAGCTCTGAAGATGAGGATAACTACACCGCCATCATTGACGGCATCCTTGCAACCGCGGACTTGACGACCATCACTCGCAAGAAGATCCGTTTAGGTCTGGAGAAAGCTCTTGGCGGGAAGGACCTTACTGCTCAAAAGGTAACATACCCAGTAATCCCACTGCCGACTGTCGACATGCACCTGTCGATAACCTGGGTCAAGGCTAACACAAATGCTTGCAGGATGCCATCAAGGCGCTAATAGAAGAGCGTTTCGACGCCATCTCCGGTTCTAATGACGCAGCCCCCGACTCGTACTCTGCAAGCCCCGCCCCGAAGCGCGAAGCCAACGGCCACGACGATGATATTGACGGCGAGATTGAGGTGTCCGTCGCGCCTGTCCGGAAGAGGCAGAAGCGCGAGGACTCGTCTGAAGACGCCGATGCCAAGCTCGCTGCCAAGCTACAAGCTCAGGAAAACCAAATGGCAAGAGGAAGGACAACTCGCGGCGGCAACGGCGCAAGCAGCAAGGGCAGCAAAGCGGCCAAGAAGAAGAAAGCGCCCCGCAAGAAGAGTGACAAGAAGATTGACGACAGTGACGTCGAGGACAGCGGCGAAGCGCCGAAACGCAAGGCTGGTGGTGGATTCCAAAAGCCCTTCAACTTGAGCGAGCCGTTGTCAGAGTTGCTTGGCGAACCTCAGGTATGGTTACGCGGAATGATATGTTGGCTGATAATAGCACACTAACTTTCTACCCCAGCTCTCTCGCCCGCAGGTTGTCAAGAAGCTCTGGGAACACATCAAGGGCAATGACCTACAGGATCCGGAAAACAAGAGACAAATTCTTTGCGACGACAAGATGCATGCCATTTTCAAACAATCTAAGGTGGATATGTTCCAAATGAACAAGATGATCGGAGCCCATCTTTACCCGGTTGAGGAGCAGTGAGAGCATACTTAAGGAGGGAGAGACGTGGTCTAGGATGAAAATAACACGGACGAGCGGTGCAATTTCAAGCAATGGCGTCTTTCTGGTTTGGGACGGGCAATCAGAACTTTCCGGGCGGTTTGGTTGGGCATCCGGGTACAGGCAGCAAATGGATGGCGAACCGCGAAGTGCCTTATCGTGTGTTTGGAGGAGGAAATCAGTGGTAGAGGGTGGGTTCGTTGTCGACATGGCATCTTTACATAGTACTTAGCCATGCCGGTCGTCGCAGCCACAGGTGCAACTGCAGGCTTCACGCTACCTTACCTGAAGTAGAGAATCTGGGCTAGCTCGGCCTTTGGAATCGGTCGACACTAGTCTCCATTTAAATACACTCTATTAAGATACTGGCTTAACATCCTGCCGCTCCAGTGACGCAACAAGTTTTTTTGGGGGGGTGATGATGCAAGACTAAAGGCATGACAGTACTTCAGCTTGTCAGGACCTCAGCACCCGACGGAAACGATGATGGCAGATGAGTCATTTTGTATGCACCCAAGAGCACCCAAGGTAAGGCAGAGTTGATTTCGAATCGATATATTCGATGTTTTAATTGAGAAAGACTTGAATGCCACTTGCACCGCCTCGATGAGTCGAGTGCGAAGCCACACGTGTTCCTGGAACGGGCTGATGACTCCGCGAAGCTCAGCTGTTAGCTCATGGTCAGTCTCGGGTATTATGTAAGCTTGAAGGTTCTCCAGATGGCGGCATGGCGGTTGCAGGGGTGAATGACGCACACCGAGAGCACGGAGAAACCCCGGTCTGCGGTCGCTTACCAGAACGGAAGTTAGCACCTCAGTGGCAGCAACTGCCACCTCAACGAGCAATGGAAGGGGACTTTTTTTGCTGGACCCCGCCATGAGTTTCCTCCACCCACCAATGCCAGAGCCAATCCAACCCGCTCGCGGTTCCCTTGGGAGCCACACATAATCATTAATTTCGACGTCCATCGTCTCGCCGCACCCGATTAAAAGTACCGGGTTGCCCGTCTGTATCCCGGCTTTCTCCTACCTACTCTCCTACCAATTTACACCATTCCACCTCTTCAAAGTACTGCACACACACTTGGGAACAAGCTGTCCAGCTGCAGCTACACCGACCAACAACCAAGCTCTAGCGGAGGACCAATTTCGCGCATCACAGAATCGCACTGCCAGTGTAAGACCGTTGTTCTCGACAGAGTTGTCCAGCCGACTGGACAGCCCTATTCCTATACTTTCACGCCCACGGTCTACGCGAACGACGAATCTTCCGATGGCCGACACTCAAGCTGCCGGCGGCGACTCGAACCCCTCGAGGGGTAATCGCAACCGTGGAAGAGGTCGCGGCGGTGGAGGAGGCGGTGGTGGTGGAGGAGGAGGCAACTCTGGAGCCCGTGGAAGAGGAAGAGGAGGACGTGGTAGAGGCGGTAATAACGCTGCTGCGCCAACTCAGCCAGACCCCTCAAGCACATCCCAGACCCCCGTCACCAAAGCCGATAACAAGGTGCTTACACGTACGGCTGCAGCGGACGATGATACTGCGAGCAGCGACGGAGAGGTGTGCTTCATCTGCGCAGAGCCCATCAAGTTCCATTCAATTGCACCATGCAACCACAAGACCTGCCATATCTGTGGTCTGCGTATGAGAGCCCTGTACAAGACCAAGGACTGCCCTCATTGTCGAGTAAGTCTTACTTCCACTGGCGCGCCATTGATACACCCCGAGACTAACTTAGAGACAGACTGCTTCTCCCTTCGTCGTTTTCACAGACGATGCGAACAAGCGATACGAAGACTATACCGACGCCGACATTACGAGTTTCGACAGCAATATTGGCATCCGGTATACCAATGAGGAAATTGTGGGCGACACTGTCGTACTCTTGCGATACAACTGCCCCGCGGAAGACTGCGTCTTCGCCGGATTAGGCTGGCCAGATCTTCATAGGCACGTCCGCTCAACACATCACATGAAGATGTGCGACTTGTGTACCAGGAACAAGAAGGTTTTTACCCACGAGCATGAGCTCTTCGCGGACAAGGAGCTCGAGAAGCACATGAGGCATGGAGATGACAGGCCGGGTGCCATTGACCAGACGGGCTTCAAGGGGCACCCCTTATGCGGGTTCTGTGGATCGCGCTTCTACGACGATGATAAGCTCTTTGATCACTGCCGCGAAAAGCACGAAAGATGTTTCATCTGCGACCGGAGAGACTCGAGACACCCCCATTACTTTGTCAACTACAATGCGTTGGAGAAGCACTTTGAAAAAGACCATTTCCCCTGTCTGGACAAAGAATGTTTGGAGAAGAAATTCGTCGTCTTTGAGTCGGAAATGGACTTGAAGGCACATCAACTGGAAGAGCATGCTAACTCTCTGTCCAAGGATGTGCGGAGAGATGCGAGGGTAGTCAATATGTCAGGCTTTGACTACAGATCAACTTACGAGACCGAGAGACGTGGAGGGGGTGGAGGTGGTAGAAGCGGCGGTGACGGCCCCTCTAGCGGACGCCAAGGCCGTGGCCGTGGCCGGGATCCTAATGCCGAACCCATACCCCAGAGCTCTGCGCAGCCGCTCCGTCGGGATGAGCTTGCCTTCCAAAGACAAATGGCAATCCACTCGGCACAGTCAGTTTCCAACCGTACCTTTGGTGGATCGCTCTCCCAGCCAGCGAGCACGACACCCGCTTCCTCATCTCGCCGAGGTAATGGTGCGCCGGCACCTGGAGGTTCATCACGTCAAGCCCCCGCAGCTGCAGCCACCCCCGCGCCTGCGCTGCCCACGGCCGAGATGGAGCAGCTCAACGTGACTGACATCGCATCATTGCCCCCTCAGGAGAGAGCGGTGATGTTGCGCCACCAAGGAGTCGTTGAGCGCGCTTCCAACCTGCTTGGCCACGACCAGTCCAAGATGAAGGAGTTCCGCGATTACATTTCGAATTTCCGAAAAGGAAGTTTGACCGCCCCTCAACTGGTCGATGCCTTCTTCTCGCTCTTCGCCGACACATCGTCAAACGCGTTGGGCACATTAGTCCGTGAAGTTGCTGACCTGTTCGAGGATAAGAGCAAGGTCGCGGCTCTGCACAAAGCGTGGCAGGACTGGAGAGCCATCAACGAAGACTACCCGTCTCTGCCTGGCTTGGGCGGTATGCACGGCGCGACGACGGCTTCAAGCGGCTGGGCTAGTGCGGCCTCGCCGTCTCCCACTGCGCCAGCTGCCGCACCGAGCTCGAACCAGAAGCACTCCAACCGCGTGTTGAGGCTGAAGAACAGCACCCGAGCCGGCGCCTCCGGGCCTAAGCCCGTGACCCCGGCCACTTCGGCGAACTGGGTTTCCACGTCGGGCTCCTCTCGCCCTCCAGCGCCATCGGCCTTCCCTGCCCTGCCTGCGGCCTCATCGTCGTCCAAGTCTTCAGCATCACAGCCGTCCTGGATTGGGCCGAACAACCCGTCCGCCTCGAGATCATCGGGCCCCGCAGGACCCGTGCGTTCGACGCCCGCTGGCCGACCGCCACCATCGTCTGCTTTCCCCGCGTTGCCCCCGGCGCAGAAGCCCCTCACAACAATCTTTGGCTATGGGTCGGGACGAGGTGTGCGGCGCGATCTGGGCGGTGCTGCCAGCAACTTTAGCTGGGGATCGGCCCCGGGAAGCGGAGCTGCGAGCGAGAATACGTCGGAGAGGGAAGACGAGGAAGCCGGTCAGAGCACCGGTGGTAAGAAGAAGAAGGGCAAGAAGGTTCTTGTCCAGTGGGGTTGAGAAGCTGGGGGTGCCAAGCAAAGGCATTGCGAGATGGGTGATGAACGACACTGCAAGGCTTGACATAGTGTCGGATAGTGTGTAGAAGATTGCTGAACACTAAAGGAGTTGGCCATACGTGGTCTGGGGTTTCGAGGAGGTATAAAGAAAAGAGTAGCAGACAGAGGAGACCAGAGAAAAACAGGTCTTCGATAAATAGAGCAAATGTGAGCCTACCGCTCTGGGTCATAACGTGTACCTTGTAGATCGTTGGGCAGTGAGGACCCTGATAGACTTGGCTGTCATCTTTCCGTAATCCGTCGCGGTACGTAAGGTACTTTTGCAAGTAGTGGATCTGGTACACGGAGCTTCGAAACGGAAGGCAAGTTTATACCATTCTGTGCAGTCCCCGAATATAACAGCATTTGGTTTCAAGACTTTACCCAGGTGATACAAGTCTCTCCATTCTTCTCACGATTTCACTGGTATCGCTCATGGGGTCACGAAAGAGTAAAACAAGGTAGAAAGTACGAAAGTTCATTGACTTTTATATGTATCGATATCTCATAGACCGGCTGGCTCATAGTACTCTCGGAACCGATCAGTACTATCCCATTCTACGGTCCACACCACATTCCAACAATCCAGCAACAGTCTAGGAAACTTGACTGTCCAGAACGCCAAGTAACCTTCTGGCAAGGGCCCGACTGTCCGCTTCAACGCATCGGGCATATCCTCGTAGTGGTTCTTCTTATTGCGCAGAGCTCTTAGCAGGTCAAGCAGCTTGGACCCAGTGTATTTACGTTGCTTGCCCAGGGAGTCCACAAAGTCTCGTGGCAACAGCCGAAGGAAATCTCCCTTGGTGATCGCCGGGGCATGCTTCTCCAAGTGAACAAGGTGATCGCTCGGAGGGTCTCTGGGTTCCTTCTCAAAGTGATCCGAGACATCGCACAAGAAAGCAAGGCGCTTCTTGGCAGACCAGAAGAAAGGATGAGCCATAACATCGCGAGCTGAAGGACGCTCCTTGGGATTGGCGTCCAACATCAAGCCGATGAGATGCTTTGCCTCGTAGGCAAAGTCGCCGAGAGCATCCAATGGCGCCAAGTTATAATTGCCCTTGCGGATGTTCACCTCCCTCATGTAACGATCGCCACAGTCGAAAGGATGGGAACCATTTGTCAAGACATAGAAAAATACCAGGCCCAAGCTGAAAATGTCAATGGAGCGAGTGGCACGACGGTTGGACATCATGTCGGAACCAACCAGGATAGATCCCGATCCGCTCTGGATACTGGACTCCATGGTGGCAGTGTCCCTGGCATCGTCGTCGAGTAACAGTTCAGGAGCTCGCCAGCCAGACGTTCCCGCAGCGCGGCCAGTAGTGGCACCAAAGGAGGACTGACCACCCTCTAGCTTTTTGCAGAGACCGAAATCGGAGACAAGAAGGCGCGGTCGTCCATCCTTGCCCATATTTACCAAAATGTTTTGTGGCTTGAGATCGCGGTGGACTATGCGAAGATTGTGCAGATGGTGGATGCCATTGGTGATTTGGTACAGCACACCTGGCAGATCCATCTTGCCTGCTTGAGCCAGTCGGGTGAAGTGATGAGGCTTTTCAATGACATCTGCCAGAGAGGCTGCACAGCGCTCGAGAGCAATGTACAGGAACCCATCGCGTTGCTGTTGAGCGTAGTATCGAATGACTAGTATTGTTTGTTAGACATTTTCAAAGAAGCAGCTTTCTTGTTATCTTACCGTTGGGATGGTCGTCGCTCTCTCGCAACAACTTTGTCTCCTGTGAGGCAATGTCATAGAACTGAATAAGCATTCGCTTGACAGCAACTTCGCGCCCATCAAATCGACCGGCAAAGACCAAAGTACCATTGCTGCCTGTACCGAGTTGATTCTCGGTGTCGACTTCGATGCCGCCCATCTTGATGATCGATTCTCCCACAGTTTGCATGTCGTTCGTCATGGTCATGACATCAGGCTCCAAACCAGTAGCTTGTACACCCAACTTCTTTGCCTTGTTGACGGCTTCCTCGACGGAGGCACGTGGCTCGTCGTCGCGGGACTGGGACATTTCTTCTCTCTTCTTCCCCTTGCGGTGCTTTGTACCTCCGCGACGGCCACGGTGAGCAGGCTTCTTTTTCTTGACCTCAGGGGTACCGGGTTCAGGGGGGGTGGCAGAAGTCTGCGTCTCCGTGCCGGGAGCCGATGGATCCGCGATAGGCGTCTTGTCGCCATCATTCTCTTTCTCGGTGGCAGGCTCAACAGAGGGAACCACTTCCTCGGACGCTGGCTTCTTGTCGGCGGCGGGCTCTTCTGGTGCCAAAGGTACGGCCGCCCGCTCAGAAGCGGATGGCGGGATCTCGTCATGCTCCGTTTGCTCAGGAGTTGCATCGGCTCCCATATCCTCTGTATCGGAAGCAGCTTCATCTCGCATGTACCATTTTGTCGTCTTAGTTTTATACCAACGACGTAGATCCTTCTGATAGTAAAACAGAACAGAAACGATGAGCACAATCAAGACGGGGTTAGAGAAGAAGTCGATAACGCTGTTAGAAACATGGTGAGGGATCGACTTGACTTTGTTGACAATGGTCGGCGTCTCTACAGGATCGTCGCGCGGCACTGTAGTGGGCAGCACTGGGTGACTTTCAGGGTCAACCACCGCATCGGACGCTTCGGCGCGTCCAGGTAGGCTAGGAGGCTGATAGATCTTGCCCCTGATAACACCATCCATGTAGTGGGTTCCAACCATTGCGCCAACTCGCTGCGTCTCGTTCAACTTGCCCCATGGCTGAGCAAGCTGCAACCAGTCTGGTGACGAAGTCTTGGCTACGGGAGCATCCAAGATGAGAGGATAGGAGCGTCCGGACAAGGCGTACCAATTGCCCATGTCTGTTTGGTTGACAAAAATCCGCTGACTTCGGATACGAGCGTTGCTGTCATCCTTGGCTGGTGGGACGGGCTGAGGCAGAACAATGAGGTCGGGGTTGCTCAACGGTTCCAATCCCACGGGCCTGCAGACGTCAAAGACCTTGACTACAGGTGAAGCAAACTGCGCATTGCAGAAAATGGGCAGTTTGTCCTTGTGGGCGTGGGCGTAGTCAACACCATAAATCTTGCCATCGTGGGTGGTAGTGTGGTAGCGCTGGTCGATGGACTGGTGGTGTTGGTTAAGTAGATCGTAGTCGTTTGTGTTGGGAGTCCAGTCGAAAAACTTGAGTGTAGCGATCGGGCGACCGTCTCTGCGGGCAATGCCAACCTCGTACTCGGTCCGGCCAAGAGTGATTGTACCAGTCGAGCTGCACTCTTCATTGTTCTGGTCGTATAGTGCATTCGGGCGCAGGCAGCTCTCTGCCTCATTGACGTGTGAGCCGCCCGAGCCGAACCACTTGAGCACACGACCTGTAGCGGCATCGAGTGTAATCATGGTGGTCTTCTTGGTACCAGTATATACAATCGGCGGGTTATCAAGGGCCGAGGCGCCTTCGTCGACCATTTGTTTCATGGTCAAGCCGGTGGATAGTAGTCTGGGCTCGGTGGAGCCTGCTGGAGACCAGTAGTAAATGTCTCCATCGCGATTGGGCTCGATGGCCCAGATATAGTGATCGATGTGGTTGTAGTCGTCGTCCAGGTCGGAGGCGTTGAGACGGTAGTGTTTGGTCTCAACCATGGATTGGTCGACCTCGAGGTGCCAGCGTTCGGTGGCGTGATTGCGATCAGTGGCATAGAGGTGTCCATCGACGGTCGCCATAAGAACAAAGTCTTCTACTTCCCAGTCCTTCAGACTCCGCGCATGGTGCTGCGTAGAGATCCCACCACCGCCGACGCGGGAGGCAATGGGTCGATGTCCAGAAGGAGGTGCTCGGACGGACTGAGCCGGAGCCAAAGTTGCGATGGCGCTCGCATCGTGAGGAATAAGTATGTTGTCGGGGTTGGACCGACGTTCGTGTTGTTGTTTGTTGTTGGATTGGGGTTGAGGTTGCTTCGAGGTTACGGAGTTTCTGCCCCTCGGAGACTCGACAGCATTGTCGGCCTTGATATTGGTAGCAGCCCAGTTGCGGGCCGCAGCGTCGGGGAGGGCATCACGAACAGCTTCGTGTTGACTACTTCCAGCAGGGGGTTGGTGTTGATGGAGTCTATGTATCTGGGCTACCGGCTCGATGGGTTTCTGCTGTTGCTGAGCATCGGCGAGTGGGAGGCATGAGATGGCGAGTACAGCGAGAGCAAGGAGGTAGGTTCGCTGACGAGCAACGCGCCTCCCTTCGCCTGGAGGCCGTCGCAGCATGGTATGTGTGTGTATTATGCGGAAGGGATTTACATCAACGCTTCCCAGTGTTGTTTACAGAGCAGGCGAGACATAGGAGCAGCTGAGGGCGTCGGAGCAGAGGTCGTGTTCGAGGTGGTGGTGATGTTGATGGTCCGACGGCGGCAGAGGACCATGTGAATGTGGGTTGGGCTAGCGAAGTAAATCGGAGCCCACAACGACAAAAGAGTAGGTACACACAGCAAGTGGGATGCAGCTGTGGATGCGTATGGGGTATCAACCAGAGGCTTGTTAATGGATGGGAGAGTTCGTTGGACGGAAGTGAAGATGAAGATGAAGATGGAGGGAAGAAGTGGTGGTTCGTTGAGGAAGAGGGAGCAGGAGCAGACGGTTTGAATGCTCTTGCTCACTTTCTCTTCTTTTTTTCGACCCTGTCAGCTTTGGGTTTTTTGGGGGGGTGAAGCACAGGTACACACAAACGCACCGGGGGTCAACCAAGCAAGGAAGTCACTTCGAGTCTCGCAATTCGAGTCCTTGGGAGGGGAGGGAGTTGGGGTCTCTGTCGGCCAGCCCAGTGCCTGCAGCACGTAGGCACCTTGCCCAAACACCCACCTCAATGAATAGGACGTCAAAAAGACCCGGTCGAACTGGCGGCAGGCGGACTCTGGATGGAAGGCAAGGGAAGCTCTTGGGGGGTTGCAAGTACACAGTGCGCTCGACAGACCCATTTGTGGGCGTCGTACGA